TGAGACTTGTTCCTTCATAAGACCTGATAAGACTTAATGATGCCTTCCGGAAAACTTTGATGCAGGCGTCCAGAAATAAATCTAGAAAATTAACCAACCACGGAAAACAACTTCTAACGCGCTTGCTGATTTCAAATGTAATCGTGTTTTATGACACGGAAAGAATTATGGGAAATGATATGTCGGGGAGGGGGGTAGGGAAGTATGTAAACAGCATTAAAAGCATATGTGTTTGTTTTACGTCTACTGCAGCTTGTTAGGAGTTTTTTTTTTTTGGACGGAAAACCGCGTTCCTCGGTCTTTGCTCCTAAACCGCACGGAAACGCTTGCTACGCAACGAGGCAACGCAAGGCAACATGATCCGCTGTCACGCCGGCTTTTCTACGACTTTCCCGAGTATGTAAATTGAGCTTGCACGGAGTTCTCAGAAATAGTTCAATGAAGAGACATACAAATTATTGTTTAATTTTGCCCTGACAAATTTAATGTATTCCTTCAACACTAATATGCAAGTGTTCTTTTGCTTTTATCTGTTTAAGGGAACCTGATACCCACCATTTCAGCACAGACGGATGAAATTACAGTTACTTCCGTTTAAGCTGAGGTAAATATCTGGTATTATGACTTCGACGTGCCAGTTGGCTGGAAGTTGAGACGATGGAGTCAGCAAGTTTTAAAGTGAGTAGTTACAGTTTTAAATCGTTTCTGATGACCTTCCATCCCTTAGGAAAAGCTGTTTGAATTCAGGGGTCCACGCAACACGTAAATATAACTGACTGGTTCCCGGATCTCTAATTAAAGAGATGCTGTAGCCAGACGTGACTTAAAGTGTAAGCTAAAACAAAACTGAATGCAGGGCTGGCACTACGGCAAAGGGCGGATTTATTATAGGCCAATACTTCGGCTAACAAAATTAGCCTTCCTCAAGGCCAGAGCTATACCGACAGAAAAACAAAATTAGACTTCCTCAGGGCCAGAGCCATAACCGAGAGAAAATATCAAATTCTCTCGGTATAGCTCTGGCCCTGAGGAAGGCTAATTTTGTTATCCGAAATATTGGCCTATAATAAGTCAGCCCTTTGCCGTAGTGCCAGCCCTCCATTCAGTTTTGCTTCCATTCCTTGTTTCTATTATGTTTTGAACAAGTTGATTTAAGTCCAAAGAGCGATTCTAAAGACAGGGGCACTTAGGGTCAATTATCGGAAATATCTGTTCCGAAGACGCTTTGGAACATTTGTTGTAAAATTTATTGCTTGCCTGCCTCTCCTGTGATTTTCGAACATCTAAAATTAACCGGTATAATTGCCCATTTTTAACGGATTTCTACCCTAAAAAGGTCGCCTAGAATCTTCTGGAGCCTTTTTTGTGGCTGAAATTTTCGAAAAGGTAAGTTTGGATCCCTGTAACTTTCGGATCACTACACATTCAGCTAGGAAATCCGAACAGATGAAAAATTTTCAGGGGATAAAAATATGTTTAAGTGGTTTTGATCTATATTCTCTTTGGGTGCCTATGACAGACATACAAATTTAAAGCATTCTTTAAACACTAATAAGGAAGTGTTCTTTTGCTTTCATCTGTTAGGGGAACCTGATAAACACCGTTTCAGCACAAAAGGATGAAATGACAGTCAACTTCCGTTTAAGATGAAATAACAAATATCTAGTTCTGAGTCTTCCACTTGTATATTGGTTCGAAGTTGAGTCCACGATGGCGTTAGCAAGTGTTAAAGTAAGTAGTTGCAGTGTTTAATCGTTACTGATTCCAAGTTTCTGTTATGTTTAAATAAGCTGCGTATAAAATAGATCTTTGGACTTAAATGGAGGTTCTCTAAAGATTTCTCATTACAAAAAACGAAATGTCAAAGACCCATAGACACAATCTTGTCATAACAAAATATGAAGTAAACAATTATAACTCGGTAGGAAGTTATATTGTCTACAAATCATAGCAACTTGTGAGGAAAACTAAGAGCTGAAGGATTGATGCAATGATAGCAAAGGATCAAACCCTTATTATTAACATAAAGCCCAAACAACCGATAAATGACTAAAAGTTGCTTGAGACATTGGTTACCAATTAAATGTTAACTATGCCTCGTCTATATTGTTTAGAAATGATTTATCGACAAACATAATCGGCAAACATAATCCTAATTCTACATCCTTGTTTACTCTGCCAGGTCCAACTGTTGTCGTTCACGATGATATGGATGATGTTATGTATTAATAATATTCAATGTAAGTACAGCACAGGCCAATTGCCAGGACAATTTCAGTAGTAGGGGAGGCACCGGTTACGCCGGTTCTTTGCGGGGGAATTCCATTAACTTTCGGGGGAATACATTAACGCCGGTGACGTCATACATATCATTAAGATAGGATGATGTCATAGTGTAAATTAATGACCATGACGTCATGCATTACATTAAGATAAGATGATGTCATAGTCTATTTTCAGCTGGCAAGTAGCAAGTGACGTCAGAATATCCTAGGGGTTGACGTCATCAAAAAATGTTGACACCATAATATATAAACAGAAAAGTGATTTTTATACAATTAGCTATTTGCTATAGTCTTCTGATTAGATATTGTTTGCTATAGTCTTCTGATTGGATATTGTAGAAACTGTTATGTGTTCAAAATAAAAGCGGGCAAATTTTGAACGTGTTATCTTTGCAGATTATACTAAATGAAAAATCTTTAATCATTAAATTATTTTCACTAAAAATCGGTTATAAACAAAACCAAGACACGGAGGTTAACTAAAAAATCTTTACTGCAAAAGAAGGGAAAAGGAGGTTAAGCGAATGCGAAATCGTACTAATTTTTCAGGCAAAACATGAAAACGAGGTCGAAGCTCAGCGAAGCGAAAAACTGCCTATCAAGCAAAAAGGTCAATCTTTGTTTACGTGACTCTGTAGAAAGTATTGCACAGGGTATGAAAATTCTATAGAAAACAACAGGTGGTTCTACAGTAAACCCTAGCTCTTTTGGTTCTTAAATCAACTCCATTCTTGTTCCTAATGAGTGGAAAGTTTATTTATAAAAATAGGAATGAGAGATGCGATCCCCTAGCAACACATGTCTTCTTATTTAGCGCTAAAAATCGGATATATAACAAAACACATACACACATACAAAAAGTGGAGCTGAAAACTCTCTATTTCAATTTTGACTCACCATTACGAAAGCGTTTTATCCGTTCCATCTCGAGGAAACGACTAACTATTGAAATCTCAGCGCTTGATGAGCTTGTGGTTTTGTCAATTTACGCGCCATTAGCGTTAGTTAATTATGCGGGCTGACAAACCTAAAGTTGAATACAAATTAGTTCATCTCTACAGCTAGACCCAAGGGAGCACCTTGACTTATTATTGTAAAAGCACAAACAATTGATAACTTAACAAGGATCAATTTAAGCACGCGACAAATAAATTGACAAGACACGAGATACAGTTTTAAAAACTTTATTGAAAACCAGTGACAAAAAGAGTCAAATAAACAGCGATTTGGAAGGGATGGAAATTAATCGTCTTCTTCGCCCATGGAGTACTTGTAAAGTCTAACTCGAAATTTCTTATGCCGACGTTTCTTCAGCTGTTTGCCATGAGATTTATGATCATCCAAATAATTTAGAAATTGAATCCGACGCCTCTTGCGCTTCGGGCCTTGTGGTGATGGGGCTTCTACTGTGGGAGGAGGGGTCAGGAAAGCAGGATTTAAGGGTGGTGGAGGGGTGAGGCTTTCTTTGTCAGGTTTTTGAGAGATAGCCGCTTGTGTTAATTCAGGTGTTACATTAACGGGGTTGAGGGGAGTCGAGAATGCTGTCGTTGCTGTCGAAGAATCTTGTGTCCTTGATGTTAAGTCGGGAACAGTGCTGATTATTTCTTCCGGTCGTGTTCTTGTATTTAATTGTTCTTTAAAAGCCAGGTATCTGTTTTGCAACTGAAAGTATCGTTTAGCTTTTTCATCGTCCCGAAGATGGTTTCGAGAAAGCACGTCATCCATGTTGCCCTGTATTTCTTACATAGCTGGAAGAAGTGGGACAGGTGAAAGAGTTTGCTGCTTTAGATATTTTAAAAGCTCTTGAGGGATATTTTCTTGAAACCCTGCTTGGTTAAAACCTTCTTCACTCGGCAGGACGTTTGTTCGCAGTCGACAATTATCTTGGGTAGTAGTTTTCAGATCAATCAGCAGGTAACCAAAAGGTCTTTTTATAGCCTCCTCGTACTGATTTAAAAAGAAATCAGTTTGCCCGGGATACATTTGCTTGGCAAGAGTCAAGATTTGCAATTTGTCTCGTGGGTTCTTGAATAACACCAAATAATGGCTGTTTAGGCTTATGCTGCGACTACCTTTCCCCTGGTGAAATAGATTCTGCACAATATAAATCACGCTTAGATTGCGATGATGAGAACCACGAGTAAAGAGGTTCACAATTCGCTTGTCTTTACTGGCGTCAATCATCTGATCATCAAACACGATCAAATTCCGTTTGTTCACGTCAATATAGGAATCCTGCTCCAAAGCCCTAGGAATTCCTTTGACGAATTCAATGTTTGGCATGGCGATTAACATTTGTCTATAGGCAGGCTGCCATTGTGAATAACACCAAACGATCCTCTCCGGGGGGGGTAAATGGTCTCTGAAGCTTGTTGCAATAGCGATCGAACCCAGGCCGTTTTTCCCGACCCGGCAATCATGGAGGTGAAAGGGTGCTCGAAGCGAAACCGCTGACACTTCTTTGAAAATATTGGAACTGTTTGAAATGGGGCGAGACCAGCATTGCGGTGTTTAGACATCACGTGCCTTTGCATATTATCTTTTCTACTAAAGGACTTTTCGCAGACAAAACAGAGCCAACTAATGTTAACTCCTCAGGAGCAAAATGGAGACTGAAAAAAGAGGTAGAATGTTGCGCATTTATATAGGTTTTCAGGCCACAAAATTCTATTGTTCTCCTCCCCTAAAACCACCACTACCACCACCATCACATTTCTATTGCTTTTTCTCCTCCTCCTCCCCCTCCTCATTTCTATTGCTTTTCCTCCTCCTCCTCATTTCCATTGTTTTTCCTCCTCCTCCTCCTCATTTCTATTGCTTTTCCTCCTCCTCATTTCTATTGCTTTTCTTCCTCCTCCTCATTTCTATTGCTTTTCCTCCTCCTCCTCATTTCTATTGCTTTTCCTCCTCCTCCTCATTTCTATCGCTTTTCCCCCTCCTCCTCATTTCTATTGCTTTTCCACCTCCTCCTCCTCCTCATTCTATTGTTTTCCCTCCACCACCACCACCGCCATCACATTTCCATTGTTTTTCTCCACGACGGTCAATAAAAGACTGCAAACTACTATCATAAGTTCAGTTTGTCGCAATGTCTCAAGTTGTCAGGAACAATCGTGGTTTTCTTCAATTCTTAGCTGTTTGTCCAGCTCATCAGCGGCAGTTTCTTTTACGGACAGCCAGTCCAAAGCAATTACATGCATTAGTCCAAGTCTTATACAATATACTTAAGGAATACATTCGTATCCCCGAAGAAAATAAGCGGAACGTGTTGCCATGTAAGGATGCTCTAGTAAACCTAGCAGAAACAAATGTACCTTACAAAACAAAGAAGCGAATCCTTGTACAAGAGGGTGATGGTTTTATTCAAGACCTATTGGTACCTGCTGTTACAAGCCTAGGATTTTTGATGCTATAAAAGAGGAAACGAAACTATAAGTTACTCATTTGAAGCAACGGTCTGTCACGGGTACTCATCAAAATGAAGAGAAAGATAGATTTGGTTGAAGAAGAACACGAGAGTGAACATGAAGAAAGTGAAAGTTTTGGCGATGAAAGCGAGGATGAAGAACCAAGAATAAAAGAAGAACCAAGAATAAAAGATGTTTTGAGTCATCTTTCCCGAGCAGCGTCGGAAAAGGGTGCTTCTGATTTGCTGCATAGTATGGCCACCTCCAAAGATATTCTTTTCTGGACTCCCAGCTGACAATTACTTCGAAATAAACGCACTATTCCCGTCACAAACATCGCCGAGTTAGTTGAGTATGTGTTACTCCCTCATAACAATGAGGTTACCAAGCCTCGTGCGCTAAATACGTTTCTAGATGGACTTGCAGAGTTAGGAATCGATAAAGGTTTAATCAAAAACAAAAAGTTGTTAAGTGATTTAATAGAAAAGGAAAAAGGCTATCGAAATGTAGAAAATAGTTCCGATAATGAGAGTAATAATGAGGAGAGTTCATCGGATATTGAAAATCAGGAGGAGGAGGAGGAAGTGGCTTCTGAGAATGGCGTTGAAACTGAAGGCACCCAAGAGAGCGACAACGACACTGAAAACGACAGTCAGGAAACAGAAAGTAGTAGCCCTGAAACGTCCACCACCTTTCACTCTAAAAGTCCCTGTGAACGTTGCGAAAACTCTAATGTGTACTCCACATTGATCATGAAATGTCCTAAATGCTTTTGGCACGATAACTACAAGATTTGTCCTATATGCAATCACCAGATCCCCGAGGGGAGAAAATACATCAAAGAGGGCTTTCTTCGGTGTCACGTTTGTGGATTAATTACACACAAAAACGCCAAGACGTTGGAAACCAATTTTTATTCACCTTCTAAAGAGGAGAACGAAGAAGAGGTCTAATTTCCATCCCTTCCAAATCGCTGTTTATTTGACTCTTTTTGTCACTGGTTTTCAATAAAGTTTTTAAAACTGTATCTCGTGTCTTGTCAATTTATTTGTCGCGTGTTTAAATTGATCCTTGTTAAGTTATCAATTGTTTGTGCTTTTACAATAATAAGTCAAGGTGCTCCCTTGGGTCTAGCTGTAGAGATGAACTAATTTGTATTCAACTTTAGGTTTGTTAGCCCGCATAATTAACTGACTAACGCTAACGGCGCGTAAATTCACAAAACCACACTTGTTAAGTTATCAATTGTTTGTGCTTTTACAATAATAAGTCAAGGTGCTCCCTTGGGTCTAGCTGTAGAGATGAACTAATTTGTATTCAACTTTAGGCTTGTTAGCCCGCATAATTAACTGACTAACGCTAACGGCGCGTAAATTGACAAAACCACAAGCTCATCAAGCGCTGAGATTTCAATAGTTAGTCGTTTCCTCGAGATGGAACGGATAAAACGCTTTCGTAATGGTGAGTCAAAATTGAAATAGAGAGTTTTCAGCTCCACTTTTTGTATGTGTGTATGTGTTTTGTTATATATCCGATTTTTAGCGCTAAATAAGAAGACATGTGTTGCTAGGGGATCGCATCTCTCATTCCTATTTTTATAAATAAACTTTCCACTCATTAGGAACAAGAATGGAGTTGATTTAAGAACCAAAAGAGCTAGGGTTTACTGTAGAACCACCTGTTGTTTTCTATAGAATTTTTATACCCTGTGCAATACTTTCTACAGAGTCACGTAAACAAAGATTGACCTTTTTGCTTGATAGGCAGTTTTTCGCTTCGCTGAGCTTCGACCTCGTTTTCATGTTTTGCCTGAAAAATTAGTACGATTTCGCATTCGCTTAACCTCCTTTTCCCTTCTTTTGCAGTAAAGATTTTTTAGTTAACCTCCGTGTCTTGGTTTTGTTTATAACCGATTTTTAGTGAAAATAATTTAATGATTAAAGATTTTTCATTTAGTATAATCTGCAAAGATAACACGTTCAAAATTTGCCCGCTTTTATTTTGAACACATAACAGTTTCTACAATATCCAATCAGAAGACTATAGCAAACAATATCTAATCAGAAGACTATAGCAAATAGCTAATTGTATAAAAATCACTTTTCTGTTTATAGATTATGATGTCAACATTTTTTGATGACGTCAACCCCTAGGGTATTCTGACGTCACTTGCTCCTTGCCAGCTGAAAATAGACTATGACATCATCCTATCTTAATGTAATGCATGACGTCATGGTCATTAATTTACACTATGACATCATCCTATCTTAATGATATGTATGACGTCACCTGCGTTAATGTATTCCCCCGAAAGTTTAATGGAATTCCCCCGCAAAGAACCGGCGTAACCGGTGCCTCCCCTACTACTAATTTCAGTCAAACACGCATTATTCTGAAATGCTATAGACAACTTGACTTGCCGTAGGCAGGCCGAGTTTATTTAATACCTTCGATTTTCTCTCCGGGGGGTGTATCCCTAGCAATTCGTGGTAGGCATTTTTCGACTCATTCTCTTAATCCTAACTGTAGACTGTAATTTCACATGAATATCTGTAAGGGACGGACCATTAGAAACGTTTTGGGGGGGGGGGGGGGGGGAATTTTCGGGCCGCAGGAATTTTTTTTTGTTATCAAGTTCCTTGTATGAATTTTTTTAGGCCAAAGCATGAATATTTTTTAGGATTAATTGGCGTCTATGAATTTTTTTCATTTAATTTTCCCTTGCACGAATATTTTTTTTGTACTTCGCCCCCCCTATAAGTTTTCTAATGGTCCGTCCCTAGGGCAAATGTGAGCAAGTACCTACCAGAACTTTTGCATATTTCTTTGTTCAGTAAACAGCCTCTATCAATGATTCATTGAACTATCCGGGGTCGTATTCCTGGGAATTGCTAGTGGAGTGTATTGCTCCGTTTGCCAAATCTTTACTCCAGATTTGGTATCAGATCAGTACCTCTAAGACAAATATCTAAACACGATCAATTATCAATTTGGTAACTTTTAAGCATGTTAAGCGATAGCCTCTCACGCAGGCGTTTTTAGGGGAGCTCGTTTTTCATCCCTCCCCATCCTTGTGGGGAGGGATGGAAAACGAGCTCCCCTAAAAACGCCTGCGTGAGAGGCTAGTTAAGCGAAGGCAGCCATTCAATGAAGATGTGTTTGAGGCTGGCTCACTCTGCTTTTGCATCGCCTCCTTCAAAAGATGATACGATGAGTACCTTTTGTGGCATTTCTCCACTTTTTGTTGAAGTTCAAACCTTTTGATGAGTTTTTCCCTTCCAAAACGTCGTTGCAAATTTCTGTGTGTAGCTAGAGTGTGTGTGTGTGTGTGCGGTGTACGTCCATTGAATAAAGACGTCTCTCAAGCTATCATTGCACTTTTTCCAGTGCCTTTTTCAGTGCCTAAAAAATGCTGATGTCAAAACATCATTTCTTTTTAAGGGATACGAATAGAGGGAATAGAAGGTTTTTGGTCAAATTTGACAATAATTTATCTTACATGTATTTCTGAGCTCACATAATTGTTTTTACCAGTTTTCTAAAAACAGTAGTATAATGGCTATTTCTTTTTAAAGGTTTACTTTGCCGTACACCACCAGGCGTGCCCAATGGACAGGCTCGATACAGGTCCACCCGCCCAGGTGACATTGTTACTTATGCGTGTTACCAAGGTTACACTTTGTCTGGTGCAGCACAGAGAACTTGCCAAGCGAATGGAAAGTGGGATGGAGTGGCACCCGACTGTGGTGAGCTAACGTTGAAAAATGTTAAATTCTTATATACTCATTAGTAAGGAGTTAGAGGAGACTACTTCTGTTCAAAGGCAAAGATAGTAATGTGTTAACTGCCGTTAATATCAAATCCACCAATCCTTTCCGCTTTGCCCATCAGCGCTGTATAAGGCATCTGGTTTACCTACCAGCTGAGTTGGTAGTGTGTGTATCAGTGCTGAAATTGGTTTTAAATGACTCAGAGCTGGTGCATTACTTTATTCATTCAGTTTTTAGCTAAACTGTCCTCTTTTTTTCAGTGAGAACATGCCGCTTACCAATGATTCCGAGTTCTATGTATATCGCTAGACCGTCAAACTATAACCGTACGTACCTGACTGGAGAGGTAATCACTTTAGCTTGCAAAAAAGGCTTCCAGGAGCAAGCAGGTGGTAATCCTGTTAGAGTCTGCATCCATGGGAGATGGACACAATTCCCATTTAAGTGCAAAGGTATTCATTAACTGTTTTAAAATTGAACTTCTCAAAAAAAGTATACTCGGCATATTACTTGTTTCTTTCGGTCATAAGCAAGGAACTAACTAGTCCTGTTGGAGTTCTTTTGTAACATAACCACAATAAAATTAGAAATATATATTTTTTTAGTAAAACACTGCTTTGTGGAACTAGTGCGAAAGTAAAGTAAAGTATAGTAAAGTAAAGTACTTATTCTTTCTGTTATGGGCTCCATACAAATCTAAAAACAAGTCTTAGTTCTAATAACCACATTGACACGAAATAACTCATACAAAACTACAGTTTTCATTATCCGAATAAAGACTATTTCTTGGCTCATTATGAACTTAAGTTAAAGTCTTTGAAGTGAAAACTTGTTATTTGTGTATAGAGAAAATAACTTGCGGCTTCACAACTGTAAATTCAAGGCTCCGGATAGTTGGAGGAAAAAGATCTAAGAGAGGTAGATGGCCATGGCAGATTGGACTCTACGGAAACAGCAAAGGAGGTACACAATTCCTTGTCGTGATATCTTAATCTTAATGTACCGGGCAAAAAGTTACAAAAACAAACAAGCAAACACACAAATAAGCAAGTAGGAAAAGCGACAAAAGCATGTTTTTCGTCGTGCGTTGTGCTATTTTTTCTTCGTTTCGAAGAATGTACAATAACTTTGTAACGTTTACTCCTCTACAAAACCTAGCAAAAAGAAAACAATATATACATCATATATATCGGAACTGTAGCTTTTTATCATTTGTTTACCGTAGTAAATCTTGTAATCATTTCCATTAGGGATCATATTTCTCTGCGGAGGTGCTCTTATCTCCCGTCAATGGGTCTTGACCGCTGCGCATTGTTTCTATGGAAAAGGTGTATTTTACGGAAATGCAAGTTGGTAAGCTACAACAGCAGTTTTTTTATATATATATATTAGTCAACGTTTTCACGTTGTTTTATACTCTGATGTGTTTTAAGATGCCATTTAATTTTATTTACACAAGAATACAACACGATAATTCGTTGTACAATAATCACATTAAGTGATTTTGGTTAATTACGCGTCGTCATATGAGACGACATGGGAGCTTATCTGAAGGCTCGTTGCATGAATCGGTAAGTCATAAGCTTAATGCGAAGGGCAAGCAGGTTACCCAGCCATAAGCTCAATTCGTTATTATGCCCAAATCTATGGCTCATGCAGAACCTACTGACGCTATCAGACGTTCATCGCACGTAAGGAAATCGACGAGGAGGCTTTCCTGTACGACTTTGGCCTCCCTTCCAGCGACAATACAGAACAGAAACACCAAAAAGGGGAAAGTAAACACGCGGACACACCGCTAAAACCCACAGCGGCTATCCTGAAATCCAGTAGAGATCAGCTCTTTGACGATCCTGGCCTGTTAGCACAGAAAATAACTCTTTTCCAGGTTGAGCAAGAGAATTTGGCCCTGGAGTTGGAGCTTCTTTGCCTGAAGCAATCACAGCCATCGACTACACCCAAAACGCAGAGTGCCAACCTCGGTACATCTGCCTCTGCTTCTGTCGCTCGGAAGAAACGCCACGTCGACTGACCGCAGCATTTCTGCTCAGGTACGTCTACCACTGTAGATTACGACAAACTTGATCTAGCCCGATTTGTCGCTGGGTATCTTGCCATGATAAAAACATACGAGCCGGAGACATTTAAGTTCGCGCTCAGCCAGATCGAGCTTCTCATGCCCAAGGGCATCAGTTTCACTTGGAGCAGTGTACGTTCCTTTCGCGCTAACGTTAAAAAACAAGTAGAGCTGTATCGCCTGGAATGGAACGATGCAGCGGATATTTGCGACCGGGCAAGCACCTTCTTTTAACACTCGGACTTACGTCCTCCCCCCACCCCACCTGTCGCGCGACCTCCTCGTCGGCTCCTTCAATGCGCGCGAAGCGGAACTCAACTCAAGAATATCGGGGTTGTCGGCAACGGAATTACACGGGCTCTTGCAGTTGCGATAAGGAAAAAGACACTTATTCTAAGCGACACAGATGTCGTGTCTGTACACAAGACCATCCTATGCTTCATTGTGCGAAGAGTAGAAATCCTATTTCGTCAATGTTTTGACACAGTGTTTCCATGCCACACCCCTCTTGCTCGGAACTGACCTCCGACCTCCCAATAAAATTACGGACACTCCCGCTTGCATGCCTTCATTAATTTTTCATTCACTTCCTCGTCCGGCTTCGAGCTCTACTACATCGGCTGTCATTTGCCATGGCCTTGCTTCACGGTCGGATCAAAACAATGCTTTCGGGGAGAGAATTCTGTTCCAACAGCATTAAACATTTACATGTGGAATCATCTTTTGCTTGATTATGATGATAAAATCGTAGTAAAATTTTTCAACTACGGTTGGCCGATTAATTATAAGTCTCATCAGTTGCAGCAATCTACCCAACACAATCTTCCTTCAGCCTTGGCGTTTTCAGATCATGTACGCGCGTACATCAAAGCTGAGTTGTCTTTCACCACTATTGCCGGTCCTTTTCAAAAGAATCCGCTGCACCAACACCTGATTTGCTCCCCACTACAAACTGTTCCTAAACGCGGTTCTACCAAACGCCAGGTGGTTATGGATTTGAGTTATCCTCCCTCTTTTTCTGTGAACAGCGGTATTTCATTGTCTGCGTATCTTGATTCTCCTTTTAAACTCCGTCTTCCCGAAATTGACAGATTGCGCGAGTTCATTTTATCAAAAGGGCGTGGTTGTCATGTTTCAAAAGATATCTCTAACGCGCTTATCGCCAATTCCCAATCGATCCCAAAGGCTATCACTTACTGGGTTTTATTTTTTACAATCAACGGTATTGTGACACACGATGTCCCTTTGGGTTGAGAACCTCAGCGATGATTTGTCAATGAACGACTAAGACCGTCATTCCCATTTTAACGCAGTCCGGTTTTTCTGCGGACGTTTATTTAGACGATTTTTATGGCGCCGAAATTCCAGCGCTGGTTGAAACAGCGTTTGCGGCTTTGCAGTCTCTTTTTTTGATTCCTTAGGCTTGGCCTCTTCTCCGGAAAAAGATTTCCCATCCGCTGCTAAAAAGGTTTCCTTAGGTATTCACGTTAACACCGACGATTGGACTTTGAGTGTTCCTGATTTCCACCTTCTCGACTTATCGGACGAATTACATCTGTGGTTATCACGCAAACATTTCACTATCAAGGAACTGCAGTCCATACTAGGCAAACTTTCATTTCGTTCCCGTCCATTCTAGTCGCATTTTTCTTTCGCTCCTTCTGGATGCCTTGCGGAGCTTCCCTTAGTTCGAGTGCCTACGTTAAACATCAGCCCGTCAAACCAGAAATGCGCCAGGATCTAGCATGATGGCACATTTTTCTTCCCTATTATAACGGGTTCTCCGAAATAAGGCCTCCGGACTGGCTTTTTACGAACTTGCGTTCTACCGCTATGGTTCGTGGTGGTGCACCTTGCAGATAGCAGTGCCTCACACAGTTTTCAATCCCGGATTTTGTTCTTTCTTTCGCATGTCACATTTCAGCTTCTGAACTCTTCACGGTCGTTGTTGCTGTGAAGTTCTGGGCTCCTTTTTTGCAAGACCAGCGGCCCTTTCTCAGCGCCTGTGACAACGAGGCGCCGTTATCGCGGTCAATTCAGGGTCCACCAAGGATCGTCTCATGCAACGGTGTTTGCAACAATTGTGGTTAATTTCAGCACTTCACGATTTTGAACTGCACGCTCGGCACATTCCCGGCGATCACAACTTGTTTGCAGATGCCTTAAGCCGCTGGCACATCTTCTCTTACCAAGCCAAGATTCTCGAACTTTCTACCGAGCTTGGGATCAGTTATTCCTTTCAACAGCTACCCAGATACTTCACTTATTTTGATGTTGATTGACACTCTACTTTCACTCGTTCCTTTCTTTAGGGTCTCATGCCTATGTTCCTTTTTTAGATGTCTTTACGCAGCGTCTTCTCCATCACGCCTTTGCTGAATCTACTCATTGGAATATTAAGTCCTACGTTAACTTGTATATTAGGTTTTATAATTCAGTCACTTGTTCTCCCTTCCCTGTTGAAGTCGTTTTTGTAATACGTTGTGTAGCTCATCTTACTCTCTCTGGGAGAACCTTTGGAACTATTGTTAATCATTTGAGTAGCATCAAACACGTTAATCAGCCTTTAGGCTTCGATAGGGTCTGAGATACAGTAATCGTTATCGCTTCAATTTAGTTTTACGGGGTCGGGTGGGGGGCACGCTTCGCATTAGGGCTTCAAAAACTCTTCAATTTCAACAACGTTCTTTGACAATCCCATTGCCTGGCATTCCTGGTTCTCCCTTATACCCCGTCGCGGCCTTACAGTCACATTTGCGTTTCAGTTCCGTCCGTGCTCACTCTCCCCTATTCTCAGTTATTTTTCCCAAATGTCAGCGTTTATTTCCTATCACGTATCGTCATTTTGTTCTTTTCTTTCTACAACCACCAGCGCGATAGGTTTGGTTACGGCACATTATTCTCCACACAGTTTTCGCCGTGGTGGTGCTAGTTTTGCCTTCAAGTGCAACGTTCTTGCGCAACTCATTCATAGGCAAGGGGATTGGCAAAGCGATGCTCATTTAACGTATCTCAATATGTTTCTAGAGCAAAAGCAGCTCGCGGTCACTTCTATGGCAGATTATATTCTTAGGTTATCTTCCGTTTGACATTTCGTTGTCAATTCATATCTCACAATGGCATCATAGTATTATACTTTTTTCTTCCTCCTATTACTCCTACAATCACGCTTTTTCAAAGTACACAACCACGGTTTGGGCTTTTGGCGGGAGTCTATCGATTCACTTACCGGCGTCATTCGCTACTCAGCGTTCTTGTTGTCAAATCTGACTCAATAAACTTGCTGCCCAAAACATTTGTTGTGTTGTCTTTGAGAACGTGTAATTGTATAATAATTACATTAAGTGATTTTTGTTAATTACGCGTCGTCATATGTGACGTCATGGAAGTTTATCTGAAGGCTCGTTGCATGAATTGGTCAGTCATAAGCTCAATTTGAAGGGCAAGCACGTTCCCCAGCCCTCCCTTCCGAGGGAGTCTGTTGATTCAGTTGTGACGTCATTGTTACTCAGTGTACTTGTTGTCGAATCTGACTCAATAAACTTGTTGCACAAACCTCTTGTTCTGTGGTCTTTGAGAAAGCGTAATTTCATCAGCAAGTACTCAATCTATAAGATTTGTAAAAAATCTTCTGATTTCAAGTCTTTGATTAAATTTTGAGGTATAGCGGCTTTTAAATAGAGTCTTACGTTCTACCTCTGCAAACTGACTTTTACTATCTTTCAACTCATTTTCTAGGTACCTAGTTAAGGTTGGTGATCATAACAGGAGAAGAAATGAAATCTCGCAACAAGACGTAATACCCGAAAAAATATTTATTCATCAACAATACAAGCATTTTTCCTCTGTAGACGCTGATATAGCTCTCGTCAAACTTCAAACACAGGTTAAACTTACTGCATTTGTTCGAACAGTGTGCTTACCAGAAAAGCACGAAGGTGATTTGGCAATCCCTGGGACGAATGGGTTCGTGGCAGGATGGGGAGTAACACGTGCTTTACAACATGGAGAATTTGCCAAGCCCAACGACACATCCAATGTTCTTCGTCACGCAGTTTTCAAAGTCCAAGGCAATAATATTTGCTTGAAAAAATCATCAATCACTTACAACTCAACCTTGGCATTTTGTGCTGGAGATGGCGGAAGAGGTGTAAGGGATTCTTGTAAGGGAGACAGTGGAGGGGCTTTTGTTCGTAAAGTAAGAAGAAGGCCGAATTTGCACTGGGTGGCTGTTGGAATAGTCAGCTGGGGGGAGGGGTGCGCACAGAAAAACAAGTATGGTTACTACACTAGATTGTATCCATTCATAGACTGGATAAAAAAGACAATGGATAACCGTAAGTTTCACAATATACTGTCTTTTATTTTTTTCAAAAAGGAGCAACTTAAAATAAGGCAAGTTCAGACACTTACCATAATGAAGAAGAGGAAAAGTTGTTGAAGGCATCCTGCAAAGTAAAGCCGTAAGGTTTTGATGTAATGAACTCTAAATTGAAAAATGGAAATTATATTTTTCTTTGGTGACGTCCAAATCAACGTTTCCGATGATAATCAGCGCCCTTAAATGGATAGAACAAAAAGCAACCGGTCGCAAACCTTTGATTCTCCCTTACAAATAATCATATAACGGTGACAAATTGACGTAACAAATCTCAGTTGATAAAACGAAGCTAAAATCTGATTACAGTCAACTACTTCAATTTGTTTTTAAGTTTTATGTACAGTCGTATTAATTTCAGGTCGAGCCATGAGCGTCGTGAGATTTTTTTTCCGACGACAATTTCGAAAACGACCTCCTTGCGACCGCCACAACTTTTTGGGGTGACGGTTTTATGATCTTCCATTGTTTTTAACCTACATTAAGCAAGCGTTAGACGCATGGTTCACCTTTGTGTTAGCTGTACAGAATGTGTTATAAAAGCTCTCTTTTCAGGACTTAATTGAAGTTAGTATGTTTTGGAGACGCTCATTTCAGCATTGTTTTCTACCAAAGCAATTGACTGCGGAGTCCTACCAACACCCGTTAACGCTGAAAAGGTATTAGAGACGCATACCAGACTTGGAGGCGTGGTCAAATTTAGATGCAAGGACAGTAAGCACGAGATCAGTGGCTCAGGAACAAGAAGATGTCTAAGCAGTGGCCTGTGGAGTGGAATTGCTACTACGTGCAAAGGCAAGCAAGTAATCATTTGATTTAATTAGTTTTTTATACCTTCGTAAGAAAAAGATACTGAGAGAAAAATTCCTAAATGATCGGCACTGCATACGACAGTTTGACAGCGGTGCATAAAAGTTCTACAAAGTCTGTGAATTAAGGTTACTCCTCAATTTTAGACTGCGCATCTTTGTCTTTGATCAGTGGCAGTAAATGCCACGGAAGTGAATGGTAGAATAGGTTGTAGTCGAAGTTCTCAAGAGTTTTAAGTAAAGAATTGACTGGGAAATACGCCGTGACACATTTCCCACAATAATGGCGAAACAGCTGTCGACGGCTGAAACCCTACCTATATTTTTGCTGATCAGGTGTTCTCTAGATCCTACGTTGTGCGGCATATCCGTTTACGGTCCTTTACAGTTTATGTTAATTACCATTATCATAATCATCATCGTTATCATTATAGTTATAGTTATCGTTACCTTTATTTCCAAAGTGATTGACTGTGGAGTGTTACCCACACCTGTCAAGGCTTCAAAAGTATTGGAAACTCACACGAGGGTGGATGGCATGGTCCGATTTAAATGTGCGGTAAAGGGATACGAGATCAGTGGTTCAGAAATAAGAAAGTGTCTCAATACTGGCTTATGGAGTGGGACAAAAACCAAATGTACAAGTAAGTTAGGTAGCAAGAAAAAAAGAAAAAAATGATCAATAAATAAGTAAATTGAACATCTTTACTCTAAAAGAAAAATAAAAAAGAACCACCGTAACCTAAAAGTCAATTTACTCCCACGAAAAAACTGTTTTGCAATCTTATCTGAGTCTAATTGTATTAACTTATAGTTATCAGCTGTGCAGTCCCAGGATCTCCCATAAATGGTAAAAAAGTCAATGCCAAAAATAAATACAACTATGGAGATACCTTGAAATTTGCGTGTAATGATAACTACACATTGGAAGGCAACCGCCAGATAAAATGCGAAGAAACTAAAGACTGGAGTGGAGCTTTACCTTATTGCCGAGGTAACAATATTTACATTATAATTCCTGCCATTTCCTTTCGCTGTTTTCTTTTTTGTCAGGACATGTTTTTTCTTACTTCTCCTTTTTTTTTCTTTTTTTTATGTTAAACGTTTTTCTATTAATTGGTAGGTTTTCCAATATGTGACTATAAAGCTTTAAAATAGTTTTATATGAATTTCTACATCATTATGTCCACTTGATTTTGATATTTTCCTTTTGATGTCGCTTAATTTTCACGTAAATTTAGAATTTCTTTGGCCTAAGAAAAATAGTTTGAGTTGGCAGATTGAAATTTTATTGAAGCGCAGATCATACGACTTAATAGTACGAAACCCTTTTCGTTAGGCATTTTATTTCGGACTTGACTGTCAAAAATTCGGCTTTTATCAATTTCAAAGTTTTTGTTTATTGTTGTCATAGTAATATCGATTTGACTTAAAACTATATCTTCACAAATTTAATTCCATAGCCAATGACTGGTGAAAATTTTATGGCGATCGGAAAAGGGAAAACCCACTTTTAAGGCGATTGAAAAATATCCGTATGGCCTCTGAAAAACTGTACCGAAACTCCTTAACATGAACCGAATGTAAACGAGAAAGGAACTTCTCTGAGTAATGTGCTTACAATCTTCAATCAATCGATCTGATTTTTACTACACAGCCCCTTCTGCAGATCCAGGTGTTCCTTATCAAGGAAACAGAATCGATCAAGATTTCCGTCACGGCCGAACAGTTAGATTCACTTGTCCTACAAATTACATCATGGAGGGTGTGGCAGCAATAACATGCACAGAAGGCAAATGGAACAATAAAAAGCCAAGCTGCAAGGGTACATTAACAGACTTATAAAGATTCCCTTAAAATAAAATAACCTATTGACGAAATAAATATTCTAATATCAGAATACGTCTAAGGCCTAGACCAAACTTAGAACGTTTCATTAGACGAACTAAAATTACTGAGTTAAACTCATGAAAAGTTTAATGTCTGACTCAGTTTAGTTCGTCTGAATGCTCTTGGATCGCCCAACCATTCTTTTCGTCTGCTTCAGACGGATAGAGCGTCTAAAAATCGTCGATCTTTCCATGAGGCAAAAAAATAAATAAATAAATTAGACCACGAGAAAATTTATTACTGATCACGCGCACTCAGTTTTTAAGACAGACGAGTACCTCTGGGGACGACAAATCCTTTTTATTCCTGCGTTCCTTTTTCAAATGATCGGGATAAATGAAAATTTTAGGACATTGCTCGATTTTGTTTTTTTTTTATTTCTGGCATGAGTGGGTCCTAAATTTTATTTTGGCAGAAAAAGAAAATCAGAAAGTGCTTTTTAACCCTTCTAAAAGGAGTCTTTTCTGAGCTAACCAGCTAAGCTTGGACCTCGCGCTAAATCTTTAGAGCTGATTTTCTCTCACTCTATTTTAGACGCAAAAATCAAAATTCTCCGAACTCCAGTCTGGACAGGTTTTAAGCTATCGCTTTGAAACTTTCAGATATGATGGATAATGATATAGACTCAAAAAGAATGTGAGGAATTTTCCGATTTCCCTTTGCAACTCATTTTATGTCAGTTTCTTTGCGTAAATCGCGCTCGAGATTCGACTTTTTAGTTTGAAATGCAATAATTCCGCTAATACGAGACATATGCAAATTTCCTCATACCCTTTTTTAGGTCTTTTATCTGTCAATCAGACGCAATAAAAAGGAAGTGAATATTTAACAACGCGAAAGGGCTGGAGCTTCAGCAGTAAACTCGATACCTCTGAGTTCGAAAAACCTTAATTAAGCGCCTTTTGAAATTCGATGAAATAAAATCTTTTATAAGGTAATTAAGTCTTTTAGTTTTAATTTAATATATAACTTGCCTTTGTAGCGAAAATACTCGCGCGACTAGAATTTTTTTCTGTGGGCACCTCGTTTTCCTTTACCGAGACCTTAATCCTTTTTTTCAAATAATCGGGACGCATTAGAGAACCGGAAAAATTTGAACTCTCCCTTAAGTTATGAATTGCAGTAGCTAAAACGGCACGAAAACCACCATATTGATTTGTTTTTGAGCCAAGAAGGGAAAATCGCTTCTGTACGGAATATATTTTCTCCTACCGCCGTTAATTATTACGTCGAATTTAACATTCGAAACAATTCTTTTGCACCTCGTTTAAGCAAAATTTTAAATTTTGAGTTTTCTACTCAAGAAGCCAATAATGGGAAATATTCAGCCAATCACAGATGGCAAATTGTTTTCTTGTAAAAATCCGCTGTTCCGTTTGTTGTCTTATTATATTGCCAGTTCGACGCTTCCTAAGTTCGTCGTCTGACTCAACAGACGATCTTAACTAATAATTTAGGTCTAAAAAAATTAGAGTTTGGTTGGTCTCATAAAAAGTTCGACGTTTGGCCTTAGGCTTATATTTTAGCTCCTTGCTTAGATCCTGGAAGTCCAACCAATGGGAAAATATTCGGAGATGATTTTAGACATAGTCAATCAGTCAGATATAGATGCAATACCGGTTTTGAACTTGAACGCGATCAACCTCTAAAATGTTCCGATGGACAATGGATTGGAAATAAACCGCGGTGTAAAGGTAAACACAGTATTAAGGGTTATTTATATTCGACTGTTTTATCTTTTTGTTTTTTTTTTATTTGCCGTGTTTCCTTTATTTATCGGTCTGATGATTATAATCATTTTCTAATAGGCCAACATATCAATACACTCGTCACTGTGTGGTGCATTTTAAGAGAAATTGCAAGATCCTTTTTTTGGTTAAACCCCCGCGGTTTGTCCTTATTAGTTTAAACATGGTTTTAGTGGCTTTCTATTAAAAAAAAAAAAAAAAAAAAAAAACATTGGTTCAACTTCATCGTTTGTTCTTGATAAATGACACCAAACAATTCACCGAATTTAAAATTTCTTCTTTTGTCCTAGTTATTAGATGTAAAGACCCAGGATCTCCGACCAATGGTAAACAAGTTAATACCAAAAATCATTACAACTATGAAGATACTTTGGAATTTGCTTGTAATGATAACTACACGTTAGAAGGATACCGCCAAATTAAATGCAAGAAAACCAAAGACTGGAGCGAAGCTGTTCCTTCTTGCCGAGGTAATCACACTTACGTTAACTTCTACCATTTTGTCGAGGCGATTGTCTTTCTTTTTTTTTTTGACTTGCACTCCTGCGTCTTCACCTTACGAGAAATGGTTAGTCCTTTAAAGACTTTCAAGACAGGGTCGCAAAAAAATCCGAGATCCCTCAAAACGACACAAAAACAACATAGTTCGGGTTTGCAATATTACCAGATTTACGCTCACATAATACGTGTGTCACGAATTAGTCTTTTTTTTTAAAAAATATTAGATAAAAGGATGATACTGTGTTCAAGAAAATAAAAAATCATTTTTGTATTTTAGCTCCCTGCGTATATCCTGGAATTCCAGGCAACGGAAGCATGTCTGGAGATGATTTTAGACATGACAGGGCAGTCAGATATACATGTAAGCCAGGTTTTGGACTTGAGGGCGATCAACTTCTAAAATGTTCCGATGGACGATGGATTGGAAATAAACCCCATTGTAAAGGTAAACACAGTATAGAGGGTTAATTATATTCGACTGTTTTATCTTTTTGGTTTTTTCGATTTGCCGTGTTTCCTGTATTTAATGGTGCTGGAGTTATTAAATGTTTGGGTGGACAAAGGACAGAAATGAAGCCTGAGTGAAAAGGTAAAATTTCTCCGCTGGAATAAAAGTATGAAGAGTTGATACTTCACTGACATTTGCATTCAGTAAAATTGTTTTGTTTTGTCATTACCACATCCTTTATTTGATTTATTAGTTCGTTTTCCGTACAATTTTAAGATACAATGCTCGTTGTTTAAGTTACGTTGAATTCTGTAAATGAATTCCCTCTCTGACTGAAGTGAAGGGTAAATCTCGCCATTTTGAATCCTTTTTTATATAAAAAAATAAAATATAATGAATAATAATAACAATAATAATAATAGTAATTTAATGGCAAAAAAACATACTTTATTAAACTCTTCTCAAATTGTAAATTAAATACAAATTCAGCATAACTATAGTTAAAAAAGACTTCTTGGTGGTCTGGTGGTTTTCAACGGAGCAAATGTAAACAACTGTCTATAAACTAGAAAATGAACATTTTTATGTACATCCCAATAATAAAGTATCTATAGCTGTTGAGTCTAGGGAAGTCGTGCTTGACCCTTCTCTATTTCTCCATTTCCATGTTATCATTATTATTATTATTACTATCTGTTTTATCACAGTCTTTGCTGGTGTTCTTTTTATATATCAGCCGGGCGCAAACCATGCACCTAGAGCGTCAGTCACTCAAGTCAATCATTCTGTTCATACACTGAGCACCTTTCTGAGGATTCGCGCAGATCCCAGCATGCACGTCGTTTGAATCTCTGTCATAGTAGCTCTCTCGACTGATACTTTCTTGATGTTTTCTACCATACCCTTCTTCACTGTACCAAGCGCACCAACAACCACAGGGATCACTACGGTTTTCATATGCCACATTCTCTGTATTTCTAGTTCTAGGTCTTTGTATTATTATTATTATTATTATTATTATTATTATTATTATTATTATTATTATCATATTACTGTCACAATCCCCTTACAGGCTAGTACTGAATTGTCACATTAAATGATCATAGATATTTTCCATGCATGAGTCCTAGGGTATGTATAAACTGACACATTGTATTTAATTTTTAAGTTTGCCGTATTGGTAGTGCTCTTGGAATGAGCAGCAGAATCATTCCAGACAGTTTCATCCAAGCCTCCAGTGAAAGAGAGGGACATCCTGCTTACCACGCTCGTCTTGGTGGAAAAAGTTTCTGGTGTTCTCAGAAAGAGCATGTGAACTACCTCACGATAGACTTTCCACGGAAATACAAGATAACAAGCGTTTCGGTTAACGTCATAGAAACTTACCAAGGAAAACTCTATCTTTTCACTCAAATGTTAAATAAGTGGAGCGACGTCTACGCGCTAGATAAGGTAATTAATGTCGACCAAGACTTAATCGGTAAACCTGAATATGAAGGATATAAACCAAGAAAATGTGAAAGGGGGTGGACAAGGGGGGCACAAGGTCTCGATGTTCTCACAACTCGTCAAGTGGTCCTCTTGAGTCGTGGTCAGCGGATAATTGCAGCATATATTTGACAAAGTAGATATAGATGGTTTTCACAGTGACGTCATCAAATGATAAAGTCAAAATAGCGAACTTTTACGAATTCTTATTTCACTACGTTGAAGATAAACAAAAAGTAAATCTCTGTACAAGTTTCCATTCCCGTAACATGTTTCATTTCGAAAATACAGCAATTTGAACTTGCGAGTTTTCACAGTGAGTGATACCAAAATAGGAATGCTGTCTCCTTGGAAAAGTCTCTCGTCTTGATTTTCAGCAGTATAACCATTGCAAGTGTAAGAAGATATGTTTATGCGTACGTATGCTAGTTCTCGAGTGAAAGGAAAGAGCTTTTATAGAAAAAATGAACTCCAGATGTTTTTGTTGATTTCCGGCGGCCATATTGGTGCACCAAAACGGGATAGCAATATGAACTAATATGGCGTCTGCATACAAAGCTCTACAAAGGTGCGTGAAACGTTTCGGCGTGAGACTTTGGGCCACAAAGGCCTGAGAGATGGACTTGGCTTCTTCCACTGGACGGTTTCCAATTTATTTTTTTTTTTGCGTGACAGTAGTGAAAACGATCTATTGTAGAAGCGAGAGGCAAACTAACAGCAGAATTAAATCAACAATTGCAAAAAAATATCTTGCCTTTTTTGTTTTTGCTTTTTGTTTTTTGTTTTCTGAAATTGTAAGAAAAATCAAAACGCAGGCAACGGTCACTGTAACCATGTAACTTCTTAACCGACAGCAACGCACGCTGATTTGGTGGTTAAAATCAGATCGATAAGTGTCTTTGTTTGAGGTGTGAACGGAGTCGATGATATTTTGCATATCCAAACTGCTCAAACAAGTTGAGTTATTGTCTGCTTGATTTTGAAGGGGGTTTAATAGATCAAATTCAGTCTATTCGTGCTGCTTTTGAAGTGAATTGTGTATGATACTTGCATTCCTTCCCCATCCCAAGCAAAATATAGCACATTTTATTTAGTTTAAGATTGCAGATTCAAGATGGCGGATAGTTCCAGTTCCTTCTTTAATTCAAAATTACGTCATGAAGCCACTGCTGTTGTTAAAACTATTATCAATATGTTAGTCAACTTAACTTTATGATTTTATCAGACACCTTACTATTTAAGTTTTTTCGCTTTATGGTTACTGTAGGTGGAACATTGATGAAATTTGGATTCTGCCAATAAATTCGTCAATATCAGCAATGTCAACCAAGTCATACAGAGAACGAATCCCACCGAAATCAAGAAACGTTTTTTCATTTAGCAAATTTATTTATTTTTCCAACAGCTCAAGAAAGGTTTTCGTAACATCGCGCCGTCAGAACCATTTATTGGAAAGAACGTAAAAATCCAAGTGTTATATAGTGGGAGAAAAATAGGAGGTTCAACTTCTGTTTGTCTTAGAGCAGAAGTCTATGGCTGCGAAATTCCTCAGGGTAAGACTTTTTGCCTTTCTAATTTCAATAGAGAGGAAATGTGTGACTTCCTCTTACCATGGTAGCAAAATGTCTGAATTTTGTCTTTCTTGACGGAGAAAGCCATTTGCATCATCAATCGATGGAAGAATAGTATGGGCTATCGTTTTGTTTCTGAGTGCAATCATGCAGTCACAGGAAAGCTGTCATACGTGTTCATTTTTTTGCTTACCATATTTGCAGGACCACGGTTTGTTGAGATCCAAAAATTGTGCTTCCATGGCATCGTGAAGTAACGACTGTAGGAACAAATCCACTGTAAACGGACGTTTAACACTTTTATTCGGACAAACCATTCAATCTGTACAGAACAAGGATGTGCACGTTGTTCAGATTAAACCAAAGGCAATGAAAAGCGTCTTTACTTCGGGTGAAATCGCTCCACACGAACACATCGAGTAACTTCGAACAAAAAACAGCTTATCACATGACCTAACAGGCAGGAAGAAAAAAAAAGAGAATCCTGCCGCAAAAACGATTTCCACTGTCTTATCTACTATACACCTTATTGAAACCTTTTACATACTTACTGTTCTTTGAAGCCTTATCTACGCCCAATACCTTGGTCGAGTGACTTAAAAAATAACAAGAAAGACTAAGTAAACATTTTAACCGCGAACGGATGTAAAATCATAGAGCTCTTGGAGAAACTCATTTATATATGAGAAATGTGATTAAGTATAAGTAGAAATATTTATGAACTAAAAAGCAAAGGAATGCCTCTGACACTTTCCCTAGCTTATCGCAAATGCTCGAATAAGCCCCCAATTACAATGACCCCCTCCATAAATGAACACCCCCTTTAACATAAAAACATCGAATAAGAGCCCTCCACACCCCACCCTGTCTTACCGATTATATGGACTGCACTGTACGTATCTTTTAATCGAGTATAGCTAACGTAAGCTTATAAGTTAGCTAATTAATAATTTGAGGCCAACCCAATGTCGGATGTTAAAAACGCAGCTCCTCGGACAATAGTGGTGGGCTTCATCATAACGACATATGTAGATGTCGATCATTTACGAAACTTTTGTGTATAATATTCTCCCGCCCTTTTTTTTCTAAAATCATAACAGGCTACAAGCTTTCTCCTCTTCTCTTCGTCCCTACTAGAGACCCTTATGTTGACAGGCTAAAATTAGAACACTTCCCGGTTTTTCCTACCAAATGCAACTTTTGTTAATGCCATTCTTGGATAGGATGCAGAGACTAAACTCTTCCAGATAAATTTTGAGTTATTGGGTTCAAACCAAACACGTCGTTGAATATAATTTCTACTTGTTTTGTTTGTAGGTTGCCTGTTAATCGGCTCGGCAGTTATTGTAAAGGCTAATGGCAGGTATTTAAAAACGCGCGTAAGGAAGGTTTACAGATCAAGCAACCGATTTAGAGCAATTGGTTACATGGGAATACTTAGCACAAGAGACGCAGTTCTGGATGAGACCCCAGATCCTGCCAAACTTACACCGAATACGTTGGTCCTGGTAAAAAATATTGGCTCAGGTTCTTTTCAGAAGGGAATTATTGAGCGGAAGGATGGAACAAAGTATTTGATAAAAACTAAAGGCGTTATCTGGGCAAGTGATTTAAATGATGTTCGTCTGGACAAGTCACCTGAATTTTGCCTTCTTTGAGCCAAATGCATCAAGAGCTTGTTAGCAAATTCAAACATTGAAAGGCTTTATAGGTTAGAAGGAGTGCAGTAATGTTATTTAGTTAACTGAATTTAAGGTATTGCTGTTTGTTGATCAAATAAACTTAGATTACTTCTGAGCCATATGTTGGTCATGGGGATACTAATAACGTGGCTTTGACTTGTGCCGGGGTACAAGTGCGTTTCTAGAGAAAAGGATAATTGAAAGCGCAGTGTATTCTCAAAAAAATGTTCATGTCTTTTTCCCTGCTATTCAATATTAGGGAATTACAAGCTTGGGGGTTAATAAGTTATTTGAATATGAATTTTCCGTCAGCCGTTTTAATTTGTAAAAAAAATCAGTTAGGCAAAAACATTCCTGCTTATAACAAATATAGCGCTATTCCTTTGCAAATATCCAGTTCAGTTTAACAAACGGTTCAAAACCGACAAGAAATATTGAAAACATAAATATAAATAATAAACTTGGCAACATGCTTCATAATGGACGAGAGCGAGAGCGGTCTTCCTTCTTTCCTCAGATCCACTGCAAGGGGAGTGAGCGAAAAAGTAAAATTGTACGAATTAACGGTATAAAGGAGGGGATAAGGGCGCGGAGAGAGGAAAACAAATTCTTATTTTTATTATTTTTATTCTTTAGGCGCGTGAAATGTGCACTTGTCGAGAGCTAATGCTCTCAACTTACGAGAAACAACTGTGTAAGGACATGTTGGGTAGTAAACGGTTTGGGGGAGAAGAATTACCTAGGAAAGGGAGTGTCATTAAGCTAGTAACAAGACTAGCCTGAAAAGGGGAGCACAAGCCCCTTTTTCGCCAGGGGTGTAGGTCAAAATCCCCTGAGAAGGGTTCCTACTCAGGCCTCTTTAGAGCTGCAATCACAATGCCCAAAAAGAAGGCCTTACTCCTCACAAGTGGTCATAATCCCCTTAAAGAAGTCCTTACCTAGGGGCCGCAATCCCCCACCTCCTCTCCATCACTGGGGTCATAATCCCTTGGGAGAGGTCCTTTGTCCTTCGTTAATTTTAGCCTGACTATTGGTTACGGTGGAAACCATGTGTACCCTGCAAGCAGTGAATTCTCCTGGCCGGACGCTATGCTACAAACCCAAGCTGAGGTTTCCATCCAAGCACATATTGAGGGCAAGGAAATCAAAAGAGTTGACTCCTCAAAGTCTCTTGGACTAACAATTGATGAGCCTCCCTGGTCCAACAAATATCGAAAACATTTCGAAGAAAATCCCCTCAGGAATTGACGCCTTGAATCGAGTGAGACCATTTATCACCACACATTCAGCTACGTTGGTCCTGCCAAAAAGTATTGGCTCAGGTTCTTTTCAGAAGGGATTTATTGAACGGAAGGATGGAACAAAGTACTGGATAAAAACTAATGACGTTACCTGGGCAAGTGATTTAAATGATGTTCGTCTGGTCAAGTCACCTGAATTTTGCCTTTTTTAAGACAAACTACACTGACAATAAAAAAAAAGTTGTAGCCCTTTTGGGTTACGAGTAGCGCGGTAGGAATATCGAGAGACTGATTTTCAAATTTAAGGTATAGTCCAGGGCCATGTGTCCGAAAAATCGTTCTCGTGGGCGTTTTATGAACATTGAAGTTTCTTTGCAGAAACTTACAGATTAAATGGTGCTGTATGGAAAAAAAGTTGTCTGCAATTTTTTCAGAGCCATTTAGGCCTGTTTTATGCAAATTAGATATGACGTCATTATATAGCTGATGATTGACAACAAAATGCCTTCAGTTTGATTCGCGACTTTTTGTATCAAATATAATAAATGCATTTACAACTGCAGTTTACATCACATTTTGACTGTTACAAGGAATGAACGAATGGATCAAATATTTAAAGCAAAATACACGGGTTGTCATTTCAGAAACATCTTTTCTTTTCTCCAGTTATTTACTACATCTTTTAATGAATCCTCTTTGAATTTACGAGTCCAATTCTCCAGCTTTTTATAGTTCTCTTTCTGTTCTCTGCCGATTTTTAAACACCAGAAAATATATGGTATAATCCTGTCTGAGTCCAGCTAGAAAAGGCATGCGTTTTGATGGTCTCCCCGTGGTTTAAAACTCAACACCTTATTTGCTTATAGGTTATTCTTCCTCTCTTATTTGATTTTAGTGTGCGAAGGCATATTTACCTGACGACTACTACTGTGTATGCGATTTATCTGGAAAAAACCCGCAAGATTATGGAATTTTATTTATTTATTATTATCAATTTGCCGCATTAAAACAATACATTCACTTATGAAATCAAATGGGTGTATACTATGTTTAGGAAGGTCCTACAGTCAAGAGACGACCTGGTCTTCTGAATCGGTGAGATGCACATGATCATGCACAATGACCTCTTAACGCACTCTTGGGGCATCAATCGAGGGCAGTTGCTTTTACGAAGAATGGATAGCGGCGGGGATATGGCTCAAATACAATGCGCTAGATTCTTGAAGGGGAACGTATGAAGCGTACTCAGACCTCACAGCATAACAGACTCTGCTCTAAGTGATGTGCATATCGAGGCGTTTTTGAAGAGCGAAGCTGATTACACAAATGTGATACTAGCATCCTTTGCGATGAACAGGAAGGTCGATACTGTGAGCGAGGGACGAAACACAACTCAAAGACTTTTTAATCGCAATGGAAACCGGCGGGCCTCAAGAGAGGCTTTTGCGATTTGATAAGGTCATGGAGTCTCCGTGTTACTACTAATTCAAGTTTGCACAGGACTACATGAAGTTTGCAATGTGTATCTTGCTGTTCATACGCGCATCAAGAGAGGGAGACTGGAATCTTCACCTTGAGTCCTTCAAGGCTTTGGCACGGTTTTTCTTTGCTCAAGGCAGGCTGGGTTTTGCACGAATGGTGCCACCATATATATCTAGCGCAGATGCACAGGTTTAAGATCGATGATCCCTATATTTGCCTTGAATTCATGCAAGGAAACTTTTGTATAACTAAGAAGGAGCGCCCATTCTGTGAAATTGGTCCGGACCTTCCTAGAGAACACGTCAACAAGTTGATGAAGGTTCGGGGAGGACACAGCAACCAGCAGCCATGGCAAAATGGTTCCTTGTGGCACCAGAACTAAGTCGACTTGCGGCGCAAGCTGAGGACATGGTGCGATTGCAAAGAGCTTCATCATCACACCATCGTGATTTAAGCGATGTGCTAACAAAGCGCTTTTACGAGAATGTACAGAAGCTTAAAGATGTGCTTAAAGTGAGTGACCCTTTCGTGACAAAAAGTCATCTGGTGAACATCATCACAAAAGCAGTTATGCTAGATTACATCAAGGAGGGAGTGCTAATGCAAAATGGCATCGGTCAGGCGTATTTTGGCACATTAGTTTGTTCAAGCACAAATCGTCGAGGCCCCAAGAAAAAGGCACATCTAAAGTCATGGAAGTTTGCTTGGCAAACAAAGAAAAACAAAACAACTAGTGGAATCGCACCCATAAAGGATGACAGAGCTCTCTTCACACGTTTCTTAGTTTTGATGCTCTCACGGCCTGATCTTCACATGGAGGATACCATAAGCACTTTTAAGTTAGCTGAGTTTCCGAGTACACCCTTCTCCTCTGATGGCCGTTTGCTACACTGCATTGCCAAGAGCAAGCTGATTAACATCCTAGAAGTCCTTCTACGCCATCAGTAGCCACAAACGCATACAGTACAACCTCGCTCTCCAGACCCTTTCAGTACGCCTTTGGTAATTTTTTATGTCATTGCAGCAGTTCAGTCACTGGGAGCGCCATCGTTGGTAAGAAACAAGAGTGACCTAGCAAACCATTTCATAGAAGTCGTTGATGCTAAGACTAATGTTTCCACCGAGGTTCATGTTGTATTTGACCGCTAGTAGATCCCCTACTCCTTAAAGGAAGTAACGCGCCAGTTTAACAACTGGTTATAAACAGAGCAGGGATATACAATGATTACTGTCGATGTTGTTATTGACAAGACAACTATGAAAGATCCTTTGAACTGCAACCAGAATAAGGAGGCACTGGCTATAATCCTTGCAACACAACTCATCGAGTGCAAGAAAGACTCGCAGATGATGTATGTAGTAAATTCTAAAGGTGACTGTATGACATCTAATACCGTACCGATTCAACACTTAAGGAGTGATCAGGAAGAAGCAGACACCCGTATGCTCCTGTTTGGTCTAGACGCCACAAAGAGAGGAGAAAAGTCCACATTCATTCAGAGCCAAGATACAGATGTACTCGTTCTGATGCTCTGGATTTACAAGATACTTTGTCTGGATACTACATTGACTGCAGAGACAGAAGGAAAAGGAAGAAGTACTCCACTAGGACCACTCTACGAGGTGGTCAGAGAAGACCTCGTGAAGGCTTTACCTGGCTTTCACGCTTTTTCAGGATGTGATCAAACAGGCACCATCAGTGGAAAAAGCAAAGTGTGTTTTTAGAATAATCTAAAGAAAGCCAAACGACCGATTCTCGATGCCTTCTCTAGGCTAGGAAACAGCGACACCATCCCAGATGATATGTACATAAAGCTAAAGCGCTTCGTCTGCCAGTTGTACATCCCATCGACACAGCTGAGAGAGCCCTAAGAGAGGTCAGATTCTTTCTTTATAGCAAGAAACAATAAGTATATAAACCGCTACACCCTGTTAAAGCAGCCGTACACAAGATGACAAAATTAGTTAATCTCGTTGCATTGGTATGGAAGTCTTGCGACAACCCAATACTAGCATTCCTAGCCCAACGTTACACGGATGGCAACAAGATGGGGATGCAGCCTGTTCCAACCACACTCCCTACCAGCACCTTTGTCCGTTCTGCAGCTGATCCAGTGTGGATGAAATTCGCATGCAACACTGTACGTGCAGGAAGCACAAACTATAATGCACAGATATGTCTGGTTCATGTAAAGTGAAACGTACGAACTGGAACTTTAACACTGACACAGTTAAGCATGTTAGAAGGGATAACAGTGACGATGAGGACCTTCAAATCTAGTCCCATCAGCTAAGAATTCTAAATTTCGGAAAAGGCATTATAGAGGCTTTATATGATAGAACAGACTTAAAAGCGCGCTTGTGCACAGTTGCTTTTGCATTATGTGAGTGATTTCGGCTATGTATAACAAAGCCAGACTTGAGTAACCTGTGTTTTAGGGGTCATGAATGTAATTTGCATAAATTAATCTTACATGACTTCGAAAAAATTGCAGACAACTTTTTTACGATTTAACACCTCTTAAACTTTAGATTTCTTCCAAGAAACTAAAATGTTCATGAAATGCCCACGGGATTACACATGTCCCCGGACTAGTATTGCTTTTTGTTGATAAATTTAATTGTAAGCACATATGTAAGTCACGGGGATTCGTTGCTTTGACAAGCGGGGAGGCACCACCATTAGGAGAGTCGAAATCTTGGGTGGTGAACGAGCCATTTGAATTTAAATTTTCTAGGCATGTGTCATAAAAAAAATCGATGCAACACTTCTTTTCTTTTTTGTGTTTAATGTGCATGCGAAAGAGTACCATTCTGATAGGAAGGGTTCATATGGAGTTTAACAAGCGTGGTAAGTTAGTAGTGGTGAGTTAAGGGTGGTGAGTTAACTCGTGTGAGTTGCAAGATCTGGAATTTTCCATATCTTGCCGGCAAGATTTGGAAATTTCCAGATCTTGCAACTCACCACTCGCTAACTCGTTGCAGTAACTCACAACATATAACTCACTAATTTGCCGGTCCCGTTCATGTGGGAATTCGCCTCTTTTCTGCCGTTATCATGTCGCACCCCACCGGTATTCCTAACAACATACGTTTCACAAAAATGTTTCGTCCCCTGATTGAGAAAAAAAGGCAACCAAACTACGCAAGGAAAATACAGGAGTGAATTTCGGCGAACAAAATGCGAATTTTCTTTTCAAACGAAAAAACAGTGAAAGGACATCGCATCTGCTGTTCTAATTCTAACGATCGTGATCAACTTTCGATGAACAAGAAAACAGTTAAACTCAATGTAAATCCTTCCCTTACTCATGTAAGGAGTGAAAGTGCCTGTTATGAATTAAAAGGAGATTTGAGTCCCCTAATGCTTAATGAAATATTTCACGACAGTTTGAAAATTTCGAAATTTACAAGGATTTGTATGGAAAACCATTCAAGCGTGAATGAGTGGCAAAAGTTGTTTTCCTAATACAATTCTAATTTTCGGCGGCCGATGCAATCGCTACTTTAATTTTGAGACATGCGGCTGAAAATTAGGTTACCTAATTTTAATATGCTCTTCCAGCTCGTGCTAACAAAATTTTTCAAAAGCGAACTGTTTTCGTGTTTACCAAAAGTTGATGACGTGATCAACTAATGCAAAAGGCCTATTAAGGCGAAATTTTGCAAGATCGAACACAAGTGACCCAGGTTCAGTGTAGATACCACAGTACGAATACTGTAAAATAACATTGTTTGTATGGGTACCCTTAGTTTCCACATTACGTTTCGTGACAAATTCTTAAATAAAATTATCACTTCATACAATAAATACACAAGGTAAATTACTTGAGATTGCTCCCTTTTCGATCCAACACGAAGAGAGGTTCACAAAATTCGAACTCCAACGGTAAATAGAAACGTTGGGCACATGCAGACAGTACTGTATCGGATGTGAAAACCAACGAAGCTTTAGCGGCCCAGCAACCGAAACGGATCTAGCAGACTTCGCGAAACTCAAAGAAGGGAATCCAAAATTGCTCAAAATGCGGGCCGTTACCACGCTCGCAGCTGATGTATGTCTCAGATCAAAACGCGGCCAAGCTGAATATGACGCATTCATTTTAGCTTAGCCTCTCACGCTCTGAAGATTGTGCGAGGTTTATTGTTCACACTAGTCGATTTCAAATCGCTTAAGCTAGAAAATTCCGTGATGGCACCGAAATTGATAGAGAGAGGATTTTACTCAAGAGAAAAACATTTAAGCACAACAAGGTTGCGTGATATGTCTAGAAAACTGGTCATCATTATCACTTTCGAGGAAGCTAACACCGACACAATCGGTTATGTATATACAGAGGATCTATAATTAGACTAGGGGTTGCATTTTACATTACTTTTTGTTTTGCTTGTTTATTTGATTGTTTACTTGAAAACTACTTCCAGATTAACGTAAAAGATAATGTACTCGATAAAGTTACGACGAGCTATTGCTTTTCAGAGCTGTGTGTTAAGATTGCAAAAATACATAGAGGAATATATTACACGGTGGCGCGAAGATATGAATTTTATTTGCGAGTGGCAAAACAATATTTTACGACAAGCACAGCGAGTGAGTAAAATATTGTTTTTGCAACGGGAAAATAAAATTCAAATCTTCAAGCTGCTGTGTAATGTTCTTTTTATTATACAGACAAAAAGACATCGATAAAATAATAGATCTTTATTCGCCAAAAAGTAATTGTGACGGCTCAGATTTACAGTACAGCAATATAAGACATTGGTTACAATAATCTTGAGAAATAACACCGAGCTGAATAGGGCTCTAAAATGACAAAATATAAGCAAAACTTTGAAAAATGTGAAATTAAAATTCAAAAGACGCAAGACGCCTACAAATTTCGAAGGAAAACTTACGAGATTACTTTATCGATAAACTCACGTGTGAGATTATGGAAAATAAACCACTCGGGTCCCGGATGTAGTTTTTATGAATTTTACGAGTGGTATATTTTCCAGTAAAACACTCGTGTCTATATAATAAAAGCCATTAATAAACTTGCTAATTCTCTGATTAAGAATGTGCAGTGACAATCTTTTTGATCCAGTCAATATATGGGTAGACTCTTGTGTAGTATCCATAGTGGTCCTTTTGTGCACACCCCTCCCCCCAGCTTACAAGGCCAGAAATAATCCATCGGTAATCAGTCTCCCTTTTTCTTTCCAGTACGAAAGCTCCACCACTGTCACCCTTGCAAGTATCGTTTCCTCCTTTTCCATCCCCTGCACAAAATGACACTGTAGAGTTGAAATAGTACTTGGTACTGTTTGAACACACGTGATCCGTTTGAATCATGAAAGACGAGTATTTAAGGACTTTTGAGTATCGGTCAGCTGCTCTTGGATCTTCTCCGGGTTTCAAGGCTCTTGTTGCCCCCCAGCCACTAACATATCCGTATTTTGCAGGGGTCGCCATATCTCCTTCGTCTTTTTCTGGTAGGCAAACAGTTCGTACAAACTTGCCAAGTTCAACTTGCTCTTTAAGTTTCACCAAAGCTATGTCATTCACGAACATACTATGAATAAATCCCTGGTGTAAGTAAATCTTTTCTACAGGCAGCAACTGCTCTGAATTGTCTTTCTTCAAATAGTTGTGGTCACCTGCCTTGATAAAGTATCTAAAAAGAGAAATGGAGTAAAAATTAATAGAATAGAAAGAGTAATGTAATTCACCGTCAAAAGTACACGCTGGTAGTAATTAAAAATATATTTTTAAAAAATCACTTAACGGATACAATAAAAACCCACGTAAATGACCGCAAGTCAAAGGGTATCCATAACGGGTGATCGCAACTAGAGCTTGCCGTTTACGAGAACAGATCCGACTATCGTGAACAACCACGTAAAACAATTATATTGCGGTCGGTTGGTAACGGGAGCTTTTAGCAATTAAATAGTTTCAATAATTTTAAGTAATTAATCATTCGAGGTAATCGAACTATTGAGTTGACGCTTATGGTATGTAATTTCCTAAATTTTTAAATTAAGACGTTAATACTATTACAATCAAACCCCGCTTTCAGGACACTCACTTAATACGGTCAAGCCTTATTACGGACAGTTTTCTTTATCCCCGGGGCCGTCAAAATTACTTGTTCTAATCAAAGCAGGTCGCCTACAAGACTGGTCGCAGGAAGAGCATCGTCCTGTAGCTGTATTATGCTGTTTTTGTTGTTGTTGTTGCTTTTGTAAATTCATAAAACAATTGACCATTTAATGGTTTTCACGCTCTGGGGGACACAAAACAAAAGAAACTTACCCCACTAGACCGGGGTCTCCCACTCCATGTAAACAGGGTCTAACATTGATCAGACTGAGAATTTGTAATAATCGATAACTAAAACTATTAAAGAGGTATTTACTTTCTAGGAATACCATCGAGTACGTATTTCCTCAGGAAGACATTCCAGGTATAAAAACAGTGCGCTGCAGTCAAAATCCACTGGCGATATATTAAGGCGCCACCACAAATAAGCTTGCTTTCCTCATGGTCTAAAAAGGTGACATACATGCATATAATCATGCAATATATAGTTGCAAAGAACTTGGTTAGCTAAAACAACAACACAGAAGTCAACGTGGAAATTATTGAGCATGTCATCAGATTTTAAGTGAAGCGAAATATTTAAAAGGAATGAGTTAAGCATCATAAACTCAGGCAACGAATTTGTTTGTTGAGTGTTAATTGCAAACCACAATAAGAAGAACATTTCTTTAAAATACCTGTAGGAACAAAATTACAAAAGTACCTCCTCCTTCTTGATGTTTAATTATCGAAAACGAAGTCATCTCGTACATCTTACCAACTTTGTGTAATCCAATTTGCCAGGGCCACCATCCTTTTTGCGATTTTCTCCCTCCAACGATCCGAGCTCTTGAATTAACTGGGTTCATCCATCCTTTACTGTGCGAGTTTTGTCCCCCAGCAATCCAAAATTTTCGACTAACTGGTCTCTCGCCACAGGCTGAATAATCTAGTCGGATCCAAAAGCAGTCGAGTTTAAGTTGACAAAATTTCCAAATTTTATGATACGTAGACGCTCTTTATGAATTTCAGATTTTTATTGAGGCCAGGTACTGCCAACTACTAAAACAAGCCAATATTTGCAAAAGAATCCAAACAAAACAAAAGAAAACTTAACAATAATAAAAAAACAAACGAAGGGGAAAAAACACGACAATAACAACAACAAGAAACGAAGTAGAAACAAACACAAACAACTAACATGAAAAAAAAAAACTTTTTATCCCTCAGAAAATGTTCCATGCTGCTAGTTATAAGCAAAATTGCATTCTTACCAATCTTTGTGTACACTGCTTTCTTAATGGCTTTTTGAAGACTAGCATATTTCCTCACCGAGATCACGTGGTCATCATCATCAGCAATGGCTGTGAGCTCACGGATTTTAACCTTTCTGCCTACACCTATGATAACAAATAAAAACATCATCATGATCATCGTTAAAGTTTCAGTGAATTCCACCCGCAAACTGCTATGACTTTTCCATTAGATAGAAACATTGCACTGAAGGAAATCGAAAAGAAAAGCAAGTACAAAGACCTACAACTAGAAATACAGAGAATCTGGTGGTTATTGGTGCGCTTGGTACAATAAAGAAGGGGATGGTTGAAAACATCAAGAAAGTATCAGAGAGAGTTACTGTGACAGAACCCAAAAGATCTGCATGCTGGGATCTGCACGAATCCTCAGGAAGGTGCTTAGTATATAAACAGAATGATTGACTTGAGTGACATTCTCGTAATGAATCGAGACCTAAATCGATGAGGAGAGATAAGCCGCTCCATGGCAAATTTCTTTCCATTGCTGAGGGCCAACCCCAAGAAACAGATTGAAATTTCTAGTGGCTAGTTAGCGGCGAACTTAAGATCACCTCCAGGGGCGTAGCCAGCTTTTCGACTTGTTGTAGTCCTGGCTGACTTCATTTCCACACATCAGTGAAAATTGCACACATGACTAATATGCACTAACCTCACCAAAACTTTGAGCTTTTAAGCTTTTTAGCTCACCCCAACGACGCACAAATTAATTACTGAGCCCTAATTGTGACAGCCCAAGAAAAAGCATTAGGCATGAGAACCATCTAGGCCAAACTCTACCACTCCGCTGATACCCCTAAATGCAGATAATGTGGAAGAAGGATGAGACTGTAGCCCGCATTGTAGGCGGTTGTGAAATGCTCGAAAACAGCGACTATCTCAACCGCAATAATCGAATTGCAAGTCAAATCCTGGTTCTGGGCTCTTTGTGGAAAAAATGGATATGAAAGATCGGAACAATAATGGCAGCACAAGGTGGAAACAGTTTTGGAAAATGAAATTTCCTAAATTCTATGGGACTTCAACTTATAAACATTCAGCACCGCCGCCCCGACATCGTACTAAGCTATCAGTGGCCTCCCCATATATCTTGCGAAGATTGTTAATCTGCTACGCTTAGAGGACTGGCAGTACTCCGCCTATCCAGCACAGCAAACACACAATGTGATATCGCACTATGGTCATAGAAGTACCACCAGTAAGGAAATGTAGTAATAGCCTCAGTAGTTGAAAATGTGTTATGAAATATATATTTTGTATCACTCTTTAATAATCCTAAACGTATATTTAGGGCTCAAAGTTAAAAGATTTGTTTTTACTTGCTATTGCTAATTATTGGCTTGCATAAATAGAGGGTGTGTTTTTGCATGGACTGCCGGAAAATACACCGATAATACTTTAACAAATTGTAATTAGCATTTTTCATAGCGTTAGCCGTCTATTTCCCCAATGAAATAAGCATTAGTAATAGAAGTTAATAGATGCAGAGGACCGGAGGAACCCAGCGGACGGTCAAATTTAAGTGTCTAAACAAACTCTTGGTTACATCAGTAACATTTTAGCAGCTAATTTTACGTACAATTTAGCTGCATTTTGTCAGCAAATCTCCACTCCACTATGCTCATTTTTTGTATTATAAGTACAGTGGAACCTCGATCTAACGAAGTGCCAAGAGACTGGGCGGAAATTTGTTCGTTAAATTGAGGGTTCGTTATATCGAACACCTCTATTTAACGAAATTTCGGGAAAACTACCAAAATGTTCGTTATATCAAGGTATAGTTAAGAATTAATTTGCAAAATTAAAACCCAGCATTTCCGGATCAGAAAGATTACTGTGATAGCAGGTAGTCCGAGCAACGGCACTAGAAACTCAAGGGCAGGCAAACAAAACTGCTTAAAACTACTGTACACATATTAAATTTTATCCTTGTTAGTCTGTTTGGCATTCACATATTTATTCGTTATATCAGGTAAATTTTACGTTTGCGCTTGTTGATTGTGTTTGTTATAACGAGGATTTGATTAAATCGAGGTTCGTTAAATCGAGGTTCTGTTCCATACATTTTACAGTTATTTTGACCGGCCTGAAGAAAATCGTTTGTTATACCGAGGACTTCGTTCGTTAAATCGAGGTTCCACTGTATTCATCAATTATTACTATTTTTATCTATTTATATATTTTTGTTTCCATTACTACTTTTACCAATCGCAAAAATTTCAAAGCCCTCCTGTTTTCGTAGAAAATCAGCTATTTTCTCCGGTGGACCACCAATGTTAGACATTCCATCTGTTATGAACATCATTGCCCGTTTACTGTCTCTACGCGCAAGCGATACAACGTCCCTTCTGACCATGTCCAAAGCAAGAGCAGAAGCAGTAGCCCCGCCAATATATTTTACTCTGTCAATGGCTTCGATGGCTTTTTCAGTCGTGTCGACGGCAGCATCTCCTAAGTTGAAATAGAGCCTGGCTTCGGTACCAAAAGTGACAAGTGCTATTTGGGTACCGTCTGATCTGTGTAAAAACAAATATTTCTTCATAATCAACTGTTCGACTCAGTTTCTAAATAGTCTAACCCTAGTTTCCTTCCTTTTTTCCAACCCCGGGGAAGGGGTACTCCTGGAAATTCTTGGTTTAGGTGTGCTGCCTTTATCGACCCCCTCAGAACAAAAACTGTTATTTTCTAAGCCCATTTTTAGACTTGGCTTCTGAAATCCATACCGGCGCGTTTTCGGACCCTAACCTTAAACCTAAACATAGATTAGCGCCAACAACCTTAATCCTAACCTAAGAGTGGAACACCAACAAAGAGATTTCTTGAAATCCATTTCGGACTGGTATATTACTACTTCGTCTTCCTTATTTATTGGGAATCGAAACGACAATTACGTTCATATACTCCCTTAGTTTCCTCTAAAAGCTTAGTTACCCGTTTTCAGACCAAAACTGCGCGAAAACCCCACCCTTTGAAGCGCCGGCACATACCTCAGTATATGGCTTATATAAGGGACTAACCTTCCGGGATTTTTAGTTTATTTTAGTAAAACGACGCTGGAAACACTTCCGTAAATACCTTTCAGTACGAGCACTCAGCTCAAGGAAATGTGAAAATCCCGACGCTGAACTTAATAAAGATCACGCAATGTTTCCTTCCACCAGAATGGGAGAAAGTTAGATTGTGAGGAAAAAAAAATCTCGCTATTTTGAAAGAGATTTGTTTGTTGAAAAGCTGTCCAAAAATAATAATAATAATTTTAATGAAAAGCAAATGTACAGAATTATTTGTACCTTTTACTTGCCCCGATAGTTCTAACTAGCTCTTTTGAAAAGTTCAAACCCCTTTGAAATCCTTCTCTTGATACGCTAGACGAGGCATCAATAACAAACACAAGATCCAGGCCACTATTGTCGTTCAAGTTAATCATTCTTCCCCTTGTGTCCATGCCCTCTGTCGGCTTTGATTTGTTACATCCCCTCTGGTTGACGTGGTTACAAGTGTATTCCATTAATGTGTCAATCACGTTTTTACGAAGAAAAATCGCAGTAGAGTTAATATCCTTAAAGCGGTTTTCTAATTCATCTGAAAAAATATATATATAAATCAGAAGTTTTTCATTGCAGTTTAAGTTTTACTTTCCTGGCTATTGGAGCATTTAAACCAAATAGAATTACAATTTCATTCAGGTAGTATGGGGACTTTTAAACGCGCTATAAGGCTATCGCCCTGTCCTCGAGTCGTCGGCAACCCATATGAAGTAGCAAGCACAGTGCGTCCAATGGTGCCATATTTTTGCCTTTAAAAATTTCCACTGGCACTATCGTGTCCTTTTCAGCTATTTAGCATTTTGGAGCGGGGCTAAATATTTCCTCTGCATTTTCTGCAATCTATGGCCTGTGAGACATTGACCACGGTGGCTATTTTACTTTTAGTGTAATAATTATCATTTTTATTTGCAGATTAAACTGTTTTGTTATCAATTTTCTTTATTTAGATATTTTTTCTGCTTTTTTTTTCCCCTTTCCTTTGATTTGTTTGTTTTTCCAGACCAGGAGAAACACTACTGAAATCAAACACCTTGAAAGAGAGGGGTGCATTTTGTACACCTCTTTTGTCCACAGCATCAACTGCGAGAATGAGCTTGGCGTGGAATTGTATCAAATTAAGGTGATCGGTATGTATTTTCTTTTAGAATACTGCTTCCACTCCGCTCAAGTGATACAACAGTGGTTAGGTAAATTTGGGTCGAGAGAATGGGACGTGATTGCATGGTAAGTTGAAAAGTTTGCGATGACGGCGACCTTCCCCAAATCCTACTGTTTTAATAGCGAAAAATGTGCATTTCCTCTGAAAAGACTCTTCAGAAAGGCGAACAGCTTTTTTAGTGGCGTAAGAAGTAGGTTGATGTACTATGTGCGATTTCTACCTTTACAAATTGCCTCCTTCCCACTCCATTTCCCGTCGAACGCGCATTTTCTTACTGCTGAGCCTTCAAGTACGAAACCATGGTTACATTCAAACTTTACTATGTCACCATAGCTGTATTTTCTACGTTGACCGTATATGCGCCCACCAATAGGAGTGCCAAGGACTGGGCAGCCTGTGCCTGAAAAGCAATGCAACAATAGAAGCAAAGCTTAAGATAGTCTTTGTAGGCTTACACTTGCCCTCTGCTGGCTGCTATAAAATCAACCTATCTCGTCCCCAGGGCGCTTTTTCCTGGCTCTGGAGGCGGGCGTGAAAATTAAAAATTTATAGTTTTGAGTTGTAGGTAGTGATCCAAAGAACCCTGGAAAAAATAGTTAGAAAATTTAAAAAAAGACTGAAAAAGATGAATGACTTAGAAATCCCGTTTATGTTAACTTACGTCTATCTGGATCCTGACAGGTGGTCAGCGATCCACTCCATTCATAATTTTCCCTACATGTTCTTTCCCTTGAACCATGTAAAATATATCCCGACTGACAAGAAAACCACACTTTGCTTCCAATCCCGAAGCTTCCAGACATCAACCGATAACCGCGTTTGGGTCTCCCTGGATTAGGACAGAGTTTCTCTGAAAAATAAAATAAAATAAAATATTATAAGTAAGACAGAGAACATATAATATATAAAAGCATTCAAACCGGATTATTTAATTGTACTTTAGGCACGATGACAAAATAAAAGTGTTCTTAAAACGGTCCGTCTTCCAAAAATCGATAATAAAAGTAAATCTCCTCACGTTATAGTTGGGGACTGAACAAAATTTCATTGGAGAAGTCAAAACAAGAAAGCTTCCTCCCCTCCCCCAATTTTTAATGACAAACTATTAGTATGTCAAAGTTTAATGGAATATTTGCTCATCACCGATTACTTTAGGCCTAGGCCAAACGCCGAAGTTTTCATAAGACGAACCGGCTTAATGAGCAAAGTTCAGGAAAAGTTCGACGCGTCTGCCTCAGTTAAGGTCTTTCGATATAGTTTTCCAGAGGCCATACCCATATTTTTCAATCGCTTAAAAGTGATTTTATCCTTGTCTAATCGCTAGTGACTGACTATAGATTGAAATTTGTCAAAATGTAGGTTTTGGTAAAATCGATATTACTATGACAGCAATAAACAAAAAGCTTTGAAATTGATAAACGCCTAATTCTGCGCGATCTAGACCAGCCAATGAAAATCTAACACCAGGAATTTAAAGTTTGGTGTTTAGCAAATAACCTCCGTAAGAAATAAAAAATTCTGTATGTTTGAACTCGACTAAAACGAAAATATACATCAAAACTTAAATTTTCAATAGCCGTGATAGTTTATTTAATAAAGTCGACGTTATAAATGACTCAAATTGTTCTTAAGCAGCGGCAAAATGCTGCTTAATATCATATTTCGGTGCTAGGAAATTTTGGTGTATTTTCGTTCTCGCGATCTTGAAAACTAACCCGTTTTCTCACCACCTATACAACTGCAACGTGGACTTTTAGCCTTTTTGTATAGTCCGTCTATAGTCCGTCTCATGAAAAGTTTGACGTTTGGCCTAGGCCTTAGGTACCTCATGATTAAGGCTGTCAAAGCCGGTATGGGTAATTATATGTGATTAGCAGTGTTTGCTCAATTTGCTTTATATGAAATAAATTGATACGTCGCTGATGAGACTTAAGTGCAATCGTTAGAGTCGATAATCGACAACACTCGATTGATTATATAATCGATTGATTAAAGGGAACAGTTGTTACTAATCGATTATCGATTTTCATCGAATTTTTGTCAGTCTTAACATTTCCGTTTCTTTCAGCGGTTATAAACCTTGGCAAAGAGCAAAACATTTCTTCATTATTTTTATGGCTTCAGATGGGTATATTTGTAGCGATGAGTATTTTACAAATTACAGTCGACTCTCTCAACGGACACCTTTTAAAACGGACACCTAGGGTTGGTCTTGGCCTTTTTTTTTTCTCCCTTTACTTGACCCTCTATAAAACGGGCGTCTCTCTAGGACAGATACTTGGTGCGGTCGATAAATAGATATTCAAAGTATCAATCAGGAAGTCATCATAGAAAGTCATCGCTTCATCGATAGGTTCTCCCATATCGGTTTGTATCGATTTCTCTCGCCAGTAATTTGTATACGCTTTGTTGTGGTTTGTCAAATATTCAACAATTAGACTAAACAGATTTCGAGTAATTGTAATTTCAGCATATTGTTGGCGAAGTTCCTATCTGACGTACTCTATCTGAATAAACTGCGGCCTACTCAGAGTTACAACATGAGTGGGTACCTTTAGTAAGTTCCTGTGTCGTACCCAACCTACCTTTGCAGCGAGGTAGTCTTCGAAAATCCCAACCGAATTTCCGGCAGGTTATCGTACTCCTCCCTTTGAGTACAAAACCTTCATTGCATTCAAACACCAGTGTAGCTCCAATGTTGTACTTAGGGTCAGATGTAATAACACTACCATTTCTTAGTGTAAGATTCCCAGGATTTTCGCACCGAATTGCTGGGAACAGACAAAAATATACAGAATATGACTTTTCATTATTTCGCTCATCCTTGTAAATTATTATTATTATGAATACTTTTAAGTCCAGGCGAGCTTTCACACAAAAAATTGCGCTTGGAAGGTTTCGTTTTCAGAGGTGTATATGGTCAAATTTTTGCTTTTTTCCAAGCTTGTGTAGGTGATTTCGACACTATAGCTCAGTGAAAAGTTGTTGGAACACTTAACTAGATAGTGGTTACGTTACTTTTAAATATTTTGCTTTTTTGAGCGTTTGTGACAAGTTTGAATTACTCCGTCATGTGCAGTCCGCCATGATGATTTGAGTGTAATTTTCGCCGTACTGGTTCTTCTTGGATTCATTACCGGTTACTGTTAGCGGTTTTATCGGATTATTTTGTTAATCTCGTTACTTCAGCCTTTCTTCTTTGTAAATTTTAGGGTCTACCCCTGTTAGTTTTCCCGTTATGAGACGTTGAAAGTGTCTTGGAAGGAAGAGATCGTCTCAGCCAATAGAACAACTCTCGGGAAACGGGCTGAGAAAACATACCGAGGCGGAAGACGGCGTGAAGCGAGTAACGCCAAATCCAGGAAGAGTTTGTTCCATTTTAGACCAGAAAAGGTTAATTAGTTTGAATATTGTAATTAAACCTTTGGAAATAAAACATTTTTCATAACCCAGCGCGGAAACCGGAAACTGAAAGCTTGTGTTTATAATAATTTGCACGCAGTGTGTGCTATATGTACGCAAATCTTCATGTAAACTTACATGAGGGAATAAATTATATCAAAACACAAAACCATTAGGAACCTTAAGCAAAGACGACGGCGACGGCAGTGAAAACATCGCTAAAAAACGAATTTGCGTTCTTTCAAATTAATCGCGTCTATTGTCAATATGTCAAACGTAGGCAACTTTTCTTGTCGTATGTCCACGTCCTCCATAAAACGTCAAATTAGGAGGTTTCACGTCGTGGAGGTCAAAGAAATTTACTAAAAAGCGCGATGCACGTGCAGAGCTGTTGTTTTGATCATTAAACCTATTGTTTTTTGAAGTTGTCGTCGTCGTCGTCGACGTAGTTGCCTAAGCTCCCTATCATCGAAGACATTTATTATGGACAACATCATACAGGATTTTAAAACTGTGAGGTTAGGTTTATAACAAAATCGATACACTGCGCTTACTTCAATGAACTTACAGACAAGATCGTGGTTTATTTCTGCGGCCGTAGCTTCGGAGAAATTCCCATTGTGCCGTAGCTGTTCGGCTCTTTCGGTCAGTGTTTCCCTTGCCCGGATTTATTTGCGCATAAGCATTACAAACAGGTACTGTTTGCAAAATAATATACGCTTGTCGATGAAAATAAAATTGTTCTGAGAGACGATGCAAGATTTCTCACCTTGCTTTTCGCGCTACCAGGCCCTGTAATAAAGTCCATCAAACAATGCTAATGGACGGTTTTTTTCATTTAGGCAAATCTGGCAATGAACTACAGATCCCTTTCACTCTGAGATAAAAATATAGATGTAAACACAGCACCAAACAGTACATCTTCTGAGAAGCAGGAAATCGCTACCTAAAATCGCACCTTCGCAATTCGATCGTCTCCAAATGGCGATAAACTTATTGAAGTCAATAGAAAGCGTCTAAGGCCACTATGACATCTTGAAAATTAAATTCTTCAAATGGCTCTCCAGTCCGTAATGTTTTTCAGAAAAGGAAGCAGTGTTTTGATCCCGGGTTTTGATTCGATCATCAGTCTTTCACGAGGTGCGTACTCGACCGTGTCACGATTGAAATGAGGCACATTAACAGTTCGCACACCGCCTGACCGAGTACAGGATTGCCTCCATCCTGCGCTCTCTCAACTTGGGCAATATGAAAACACCACTGTTCCCATGGCTACCAAGTAAAATCAAGCGTAGTCTACTTAATTTCTTATCTCAGGTAATTTTTATTTTTCCTTTGTTTCCTTTGAAAAAAAAATACCTGAGATGAAAAAAACAAAAACAAAAAACAAAAAAAAAAAGCAGCTTATCGGAAGTCGAATAGTGTCTAATGTCATATAATTTTTTTGATTTTTTAATGTCGTATATTTACCGGGCAATAGCTTATTGTAATATTTATGTTGAGGATGTAATATATAAATAGGGTAAACTATCTTTTTTCATAATATAGTGTCTCCAATTACTGTGTAAACGCTAGGTATACTACTACTACTACTACTACTACTACTACTACTACTACTACTACTACTACTACTACTACTACTACTACTACTACTACTACTACTACTACTACTACTACTACTACTACTACTACTACTACTACTACTACTACTACTACTACTACTACTACTACTACTACTACTACTACTACTACCACCTACTATAACTACTACTAGAAATACGTTTTCGCAAAGATCTCGCGAAGCTAAAAGGTTCAGCAGTGAGAATAAAAAGTAAAAAGCCAAAGGGTAAAAAAACGATGAAAGAAAAAGAAAACGGAGGTTGCCTCGCGGGGATTTGAACGCGCATCCCAACTTCCTCCAGCGAAAACAGTGCGGCCTCTACCATGCGATCGCTATATTCACTTCCCTTGAAAATTAATAGCCTTCAAGTATCTTTCTCTGCCATTCACACTGTTTGAACCTTATGGAGCTGTATTTATCATGAATTCAAAGATACATTTGAGGAAAAATAGCTCAAACGAGTATTTCAAAACCATTTCGCATTATCTCCGAGTTTATTCACTCTCGGGCTTTACTGTAGGCCGCTCGATTAACGGACTGGTCTTCTTCTTCGCTGCTTTCCCTGAAGTTCAGGTCACCGTTCTTTCGGTGTTAAACCTTCCACGACAACGATTTCCAGCCACCTGTCCAGTCGGGCACTGTTGTGTTTGCAACCCCTGGTTATTTGCCTCAGAAATATTTTGCGATTTGCCAACGTAGAATAAACAGAGGATGAATAAAATGAGCCCAAGTCTCTACACGTGTTGCCTGGAAACCCAAAATGCACGATGACGTCATGTTGCATGGCGTCTTTAAGATTTGTTTATGCTTTGTTGCTAGGCAACTTCGGATACCAAACCGATAGAAAGATTTATGAAAAGCGAAATCGCAGTTCGCTTGGGATCCTCGCGTGATACGTGCGCTGCGTGCGCGACAAATTTATAAACTCGTTTCGCTCGCGGCCTAACGGCCGCTCGCTCTGCGAGAACTACTACTCGTAGATTCCCCTTTTCCTATCCACCCATTAGAATAAAAGAGAAAACAAACAAACAAATAGAGCAAGCAAGCGAAACAACAACAGTAACAGCGCTGTGACCAGAAATGGCACATCAATGGAGACTAATTCCCATGGTCTGGCCCTTCTCTGATAACAGAAGGTTAAGGAGGAAAACTTTTAAACATCCTAAACTTACCTGTAGCCTCAGTCATTTCACGAAAGAAGATCACTAAAGCGGCTAAAATACAACGCAGAACCTGCCACATAAAGCAAAATAATAACTATTTTCAGCTAATTCGTGCACTGTACCTAAGTTTCGGTCGGTAGTTCAAGTTCCTCTGGAGAACAAGGTGCTTGGTCAACAGCCATAGGATGAGGCGATTATCCATGGGGACAAAAAAAAAGGAAAGAAAAAGGACAAAAGGAAACACAAATTTCCGTTTTGGAAAAACAGGAAGACGGAAGACGGAGAAAGAGAGTGAAGATTCTGAAATTTAATCCATTGCAACAATTGTTTTCGTCGATTTGCAGAGCAGAATTATATACATAAAAATAAGCAGAACGGATTCCCACCCAGAGGTCATCCATTGAGCTGTTGCCAATAAATTAGAATCCGCTTATCAGTATGTTAAGCTCACGCTTCGACAGAAAAGGTGAAATAAAGCGTCTTCTCTTTTGCCAAATTCTTTCGCGTTACAACGGAGTAAACTCGACATTTTGCAAGAGTTAAAACTGAGTAACATATTGATATAGTTTATTATTGTAATTGCAGTAGAACTTTTCGAAGTGTAGCTAATGTTTACCAAGCATAAAATGAACCGTGCTTACCCTTGGAACTTCCCAGGGCAGTAATGTATCAGACTCTAAAACGATAGCTACACTAGTAAATTACCATTGTAAAAAAATTATTTATTTAACCCGAGGAAGATGACATGAAGTTCCTGTTAACACATTTACTCCTATTCAATTCTTGAAACACTGATCTTTCATGACTGTATTCTTTAATACAGCACTAACGTTTAGAAGGTACAGAAAGTTTTAGCTTTTAATTACCAAAAAACGTTGTCGAGTAAATCTAGCATGTGATGTAGGAGTCTGCGAGGCAGACTAGGAAATAGTAGACTACCATCAAACAAAGTGAAAGGTGCCTCGAGGAACAAGCCAGGCTTGTCTGCCCTTTCAATTCTCTTCTCGCTAGAAATTCAGCATTCACTGAAACGTTTATAAAACGACTGAACATACGACAAAATTGATGTTTACAGCGTTAGAGCAGACAGCCTTAGCTTGGAAAAGATTCGTTCATTAGGATTTTATGTCATGGGATAAATACAGAGTAGCGAGTTGTTCATTCATACTAATAAGCACCTACCTTGAAGGATTCCGTCATGATTTAGTCTCGGGATTTATTTCACAGACTGATCACTGAACGTAAAATTTAACACAACAGCCTACCCTGAGAACCAATCGACATCAACTGGATAATTTTTCGAAAACCCGTTGTTTGAAGAGGACGTACCGTATTTACCTTTTTTCCTACGTGCATCGGAACTGATATTCCTTGAAAAGGTCACAACACGGAACTATGTTTATAAACTGATTAAACCACAAGTACATGTATCAGTTTTCTAACCTATGTTATGGCAATGTTCTTTTTTCAGTATCAAGAAGGGAGCGGAAAAATAACTGCCATTTATTGTTATCGCAAGCCACATGTTTCTTGTCTTTTTATTTATGTAGCTTTTATGACAAGTGAAAATAGAATGTACGTTAATAAACTGCCTTTCATAATATACATTCGCTGTTGGAGTCCCCTTTCATCGTTCTTTCTAAGAAAGTTTAAGAACGCATTTGATGCTTTTTTTTTTCTAACTTTGAAACCGGAACACGTTTTATATCTATTATAACTAACGTTTAAGTAATAATTATGACAGAATCGAGTGTTAAAAATCTTGATAGCAGATGTTCGGCTTTTTTTACTTCAATATAAGCTACTCCTCGATTTATTCAGCGACTTGTTTTCAACAGCAAAATAACAGCATTTGTTAATTATCATTTCAACTGTTTTCCTGGTTTCTACACCTTCTTAATGGACAAAGGACTTATTAAAGTAGAACTGCGTCTATGGCTTCATCTTTATTTTCACTAGGAGTTACTTTGACCAGGTGCCGATGTGGAGGTAAGTCAGTAAATTCAATTTCTGATTTTAGTCGAAGAATTATTGTTTTTTTTCTAATTAACCAGTTACGTACTGTTCCTCATCCTCAACTAATGCTTTAAGATATTGTCTCTCAGGAAACCTCCGATCGCTCAACGAGGGCTTGCTTGGGGGAAGCCATTTGACCCATCCAGATGTGGTTTGAGTTTTTTTTTCTTTTTTTTTTCGCAATAAGCCCCCAATCGCTGAACGAGGCCTTGCTCTGGTGAACATAACACTTTGTTACGCTGCTTTTCGAATTTTATGAATCAAGAGCCGTTTTAAAGAATTCATCGTAAAATTCATCTTCAACTGACATCATCACCATTGTAATCTATTTCTTTGCATTTTTGCGAAATTATGAAAATGAGTGATTTTAATTTTATCTTCAATTTTATCTAATTCTTCTTTGAATTCATCTTTCACATGTTCAGAATAACCCACTTCCCCGTATTCCAGTTCAGCGAGCACTATTTCCATTTTGATTTGTGTACGACATAATCAAAAGTTATTTGTTGCCATTCTTCTGGTAAATTTCTACCCGAAATACCACCTTTCAGCTCATCAATGACTTTTGTAATTTTGCAAAGTTGTTGTTTTGCTAATCTAAACCTATTGCTTTTTTGCCGTTCTCGTTGCCGTCACCGTCGCCGTCGCTGTCGTCGTTGCTTAAGTTCCTTTTTATGCATATATTTTGTCAATCTCTAATTGGCTGCTTGAGACCTGTGGACCACCGGCGCGACACAATGGAAAGTTCACAAAACACGCTCCCTGACAAAATCGCAGCCAGGAGCAGCACAGGAAGTTGTCATCCTCAGAGCAGTATATAGGAAGGCAATCAGCTTGGATATTTTCTTGCAAGGAGCGAATGGCGTGAGATGAGCGAGGGAGCTCTTGCAAAATAATCTCCAAAATGATCCCCTACCTATATACTACTAGGTCAACGACAACCATCAACGTTTTGTTGTTGTTGCTTTTTTAGTTCAAATCGTCTACCTTTTTTACTTTTTCAATTCAGGATGATTGACAATGGAAACCATAACAAAAAGGTAGACGATTTGAACTACAAAGGCAACAACAACAAAAAAATGAATGTTATTTAAAAGCAACATTCAATCACTTACTCAGATTTATTCGATGCTAAGTTTATTACTCTTCTTCCTCTGTTGTTTCTCTCTCTTTTTTTTGTTTTTGGCGTTTTGTAAATACTTTATTACTTCATTTCAGATAGTATTACAAGCAAACAAGGTAAAAACTAAAATCTGTGCTAAGTTTCTGATGTCAGCAAACACTTAAAATCTGATGGTGCTTTTCTCAGCTCCGGTAGAAGAAAAATAAATTAATCCCAATAAAACAAGCAAAAATGTCTTTATTTAAGCTAGCTGATTCACTACAGAAGATCACAATCTTACACAAAGGGCCTTATTGTGAATACCAACGTTTAGCAGGAAACTATTATTTTATGGCAAAAATGTATGTCGATAAACAGGTTTCTCTTTTTTGTTGGTCTGCGTTTGACTAGGCTTCTCCTTCATCCGGATCTGTGTTTTCAGCCTCAACTTTCTTGATCCAGTCAATGAACGGATAAACTCTGGTGTAGTATCCGTACTGATTCTTTTGTGCACAGCCTTCCCCCCAGCTGACAAGGCCAGTTACAATCCATGGGTACTTGTCGCCCCTTTTTCCTTCACGAACGAAGGCTCCTCCACTGTCACCGTGACATGTGTCATTTCCTCCTTTTCCATCTCCAGCACAAAACGATACCGTAGAATTGAATGGCAGTGCAGACCTTTTACCACATAATCGATTTTGTTGAATTTCATAAGCCGAGTGCTTCAGTACATTTGAATATCGGCGATGATCTGGCGCTCTTTTTCCTGGTTTCAAGGCTTTCGTAGCCCCCCAGCCGGCAACGTAACCGTACTTCGTAGGGATGACCAAATCCCCTTCATTTTTCTCTGGTAGGCACACAGTGCGTACATACTTATTGAGTTCCACCTTTTGTTCGATTTTGACCAGTGCTATGTCGTTTACCATCAGATTGTATTTGAAGCCTTGGTGAACATATATGTTCTTCAATGTGACTGTCTTTTCTGACTTCTCTGGTGGGTCCTTGTTCAAGCTGTGGTCACCTACTTTCAACTGGTATCTATTTTCAAATATTAAAAAGAATATATGATCCGGTAAATACTCCAACATTACAGTAAATACACTTTTATACTTGCTGACAAGCGTGAATGTCAAATTGATTATTTGTAGAACATCACGAAGTGCGCGATTAAAACACTAGGAACTTCGCAATTTTTTGAGGATCACGTCGTATCTTATTACCATTCTTCCCTTTTTACATCATTAAGGTATTTGTTTGCTTATTCGGAGAGGATGATTAATTCTATTTCTAAAGAACAAATTTCGACCTTGTTTCGGTCATTATGAACAAGAATTAGCTATATAGTTATATACAGTATGTGGTCCTTGGTCTGGCAGGTTTTACTTTTGTGATGTTATTTTTCGGGAAGAAAATAAGGTTACAATACAAACAAAATTTTTCGAGAGTTTATTGATCCGTTTGCCCTTTTAAGCTCGATTCGAGGTTTTCCTGAAGCTAGCGAAGGCGAGAAAATCAAGGTAACGCGAACGAAGGTGAATTTAATTCTGTTATTTGTGTCTTTTTTATGGCGCCTTCAATTACTTGGACATGTTTTGAACTCAGGCATAAGCGATGAAGTACGTTAAGAAAGCTAATTTTTGGAAGCTTATATCCGTCCGATTGGTTTTATTAGGGAGCTTTAGAACAGTCAAAAAGTTCAAGCATTGGGTTTTAACAAGCTTGATAGAAGCAAAACATTACTCTGCACGTGCTTTCCGGTTTGATTTCTTTGTCGATGCTGCACGGCTAAAAGACATAAAATTTCCTGATGAGAAGTTTTTCTTGGGGACGTAAACATGCGACGACAAAGTTTTCTTTCTCTCTAAACTTTGATTTACACTATAAAATCGCCAGTCTCTGGAAGTATTCTAAACGTTTCCACTGCTCATTTGAATGGTATAATGCTGTAGTGTCCGCTTAATAGAGGCTGTCCGCACAGAGGCGAAAACGTTTTCTTCACGAGACCAAACTGCAGCTCTTTACAGAGAAATCTCATTTTGGTTTCGAAGTTTAAATGATGCCTATCGAAAATATACAGTAATTTAGATCAGATGTTGCTTAGAACGTTTCTATTTGCGCACAGTTTGCACGGACCAAGGCGGAACGACTAGCTGGACCAGGGGCCTTCAAACGGAGCGATCATTTCCTATGATATTCGGCAAAGCTCAGAAGCTGTCCAGGACAAATTTCAGCTCACGTACTACTCTTCTTCTGAGATAAGAAATACTCATTTACGTCTTTTTCGTCCGGACTTGACCACATACTGTGTATGCAACTAAAAGTTGTTTCTAATAAATTTGAACAAGAAAACAACCAGATTCTGGTAGTTGTAGTAAAATGACATCATCATGCAATTGTTGTATTGGCTGCACGCTGTGATTCTATTGAATGTCGCACAATCAATAAAACGTCAGAAAAAAAAATGGAGTTATGTTTATAACTTTACTGTTTATTTATGAACTCAAGTTGGCACCTGGGACTTCTGGCAAGAACTACAGCAGCGTCTTAAACGTTGACCGGAATGATTTAGGATACAACGACAGCGACAGTGGTAAAAAGGACGCTTAAAAATTGAACTGACAACAGTTCTTCAATCTGTATCGACATTATTCCAAGTCGCTTACTTTGTCACAGGTGAACTCTCCTGAAGTCTTGCAGCGATCCTCCGAGGCGCGAAAATGTACAAAAAAGTGTAAAAAGAGTCATGCATGGCAAAGTTTTTATGTTTTGCTTGAGTTTAACAGCCTTGTTCACACCATTTGGTAAGATGTTATCCCTTATCCTCTTTTCCATCCACCGTATTTTGTGTATTTACTTGTATTTTTCACTCAGGTGTCATGTATGTAGCCGAGTCGGAAAAATAAATCTTCCAGAAACTGCCAGGGATGATCAGCGAATTCTCTTTTTTGGTCTTTGCTTCAAGTCCCTGATATCTCTTCAAGCAAAAAGGAAAAAAAGAACAAACTAACCCACGAAGTGTGACTGTCATAGATGGAAAGTTTCTTGTACGCCGAATTCAAAGCATGCACTATCGCAAAAGCTGTGCTATTTTCACTCAAACAGGTAAGTTTTCTTACCAGGACTCGTTGTTCCTACTCTTGATCTTAATCATATAACAATAACTTCTCCAATTCATTCCAAGACAGATCTTCGTCAATAGGCGAGTTTCGTATTCCCGGGCGGCCTAGGACGAGCGCTTGTTTTTGCGCGAAAGCGAGGCTAATGCGGGTCACTTCTCACCAGGAAGACAAACAAACATGAAACGTTAAAAGGTTTTAGAGGTCTCAAAACTTACTTACAGGAAAGAGAAATCATTGTTTCAAACAGCAAAAGGAAAATCAGCTCGTCATCACTAAGAAAAACAACGAGCATGACTAGAAATTGACTGAAATAGTGGTCGGTGAGTGAGATCAATAAGAATGTGAATATGATTTCAAAATCCTTAAACAAGGTTATGCCCTGAAGCCATTTAACTGTTATTTCAGTGATGGTTAAAACTTCTTTAACCCATATCTTCCCCTGGAGTGTACCGGTAATTGTCGAAAGCTTGCAAGTTAAACTGAAACCTTCTTTTTAATACATTTTTTCTAACGCAGCGAATGCAAAATCTTTTGTATTTGAAAAAAAAATAAACCGACGAGGCAGACACGATTCTGCATCAATTCCTTGCACTGTAAGGAAGTTAAATCGGTTTAAACGAAGATGAATAAAACCGTATTAGTTTATTTATACATAAGCTTACATTTAGCTTACATTATTTATCAAAATATTAAGTTAGTCACATAAAGAAAAAAGTACGCACATCGAACACAGAATTTTATACAGAAGATGTACTGAGCAGTTTAAACTCCATTTTACAGATATACACAAGAGTAAAATAGAATACCAAGAAGTAAGATAATTAAAGGGAATAAAATATTGTCATTTTAACAAACTTTACCCTTTTCAAGCTTGAAAAGTTTACACTTTCTTTTGGATTCTCGCTTTTGTCTTTCTTCTGTTAAGTACGATCAGCTTTTTCCACAATTTTTTTGTTTACAACAGATATCCCTTTGGCTTACTGGCAAAGTTTGAGCTTTGAAATCTTATAATTACTATCTTTAAGATTTCTATCGTTTTCCAGCGACTCCACGGCAAATTACCTATGTTTGTTTTTGATTTTGAAAATAAGTTGACCTGCATTAGCCTCGCAATCGTGCAATTCCCAGGGCCGTCGGGAAATACGAAACTTGCGTATTAGCCAGGACTCCGGGACGTGTTTACTGTTTAACAGACACATTCCATGTTGCCGTGCGTCTGTTCAGTGATAGATCACAGATGACGTCAAAATGTGGTAAAAAAAAGACAAGTGGCACACGAGCCGCTGATGTCTTTTACCACATTTTGACGTCCTCTGTGATCTATCACTGAACAGATCCACGGCAACATGGAATCTATTTGCATTATACAATGATCAGAAAAGACCGATACACATACCTGCCTCGTACCGCTTGAGTGTTCAAGGATTTGTGCCACGAACAGTCAAAGCGTATCAAGCGTTCCTGTCGCTAGTGGACTGATAAATTCATAAATGGAAAAATGATTCGGGTTGTTGATTCAATAATCCATTCATAAAATGAATAATCCAATAGTTAAATTGGACCTCGATTCAATAATTAAGAGAGAATATCCATAAAAGCGGCGTGGCCGATCTGGCTCAAAAAATAGATTTTGCTTTTTTTCTGCTGTAAACTGAAAGACTTTCATGTCCTTATACTAAAACCACAATCCGCTTGATGAGATCTTTTAAATTTATCGAGTTATGAGAGATTTTCTGATCACCCCTGCGAACACACGTGGTGATCCATATGGAGGCTCAAATTTAAGGTAACATTGGAGGTCAATGTTACGAAAAATGTCCAGTCCTTTATAAAATTAAACAAACACCAAAACCGGTTGAACTAAGTCCTTTCGAGTGACTTTTATCAAGGTTAAGGGCGAAAGAAGGCCATACTGACAGTTTAACGAACCCCATACCGTTTGATCATGCACGCGAAAACAGGTCAAATACAAACTTTATTTCTGTAAAAGTACAACGAGCTATTTCAATTAAACTGGCTCATTTGGAAAGAAGGAAACCTATACAATGTCACCACAGAAGAAAACTTTGCGGTATCTCGCTGCTGAAATAATTATAGCTTTGTGAAATTGTCAAATTTTCAAAATATCTAAGTTTTTAGCTCCACTTTGACAGACTAGTCGGAATAACTTTTTTCAGTCCCATCGGTTGCAAACAAGTCTGAAACAACGAAGAAGGCAGCAAAAACTATATAGAAAACCTCAAAGGCCATCTAGAGGTGATCAAGGCGTTCTTGAACGCTTACCTTGCCAGGTACATTGTGTAAAGACTTCACTGACCGCGTCATTTACGATCTTTATCGAATTCCGCTCTTCGATTCCTCACCAATAAGACGTTACTTCCATTCAAAATCATGGATGTTAAACGGCAAGTTATAAAGCAACGGGATTTCCTGTGAGTTTCCTGAGATATGTTAGCAAATTAGTTAACCCAGACTATTTTCTTGCAAAGAATTTAGGGACTCTAAAAACCATCCGTGGCAGACTGTGGCACCTGATGTATACTTCTTCAAGACAACCGCTGATCAGACTCTAGTGGTGGAGGCTAACGTTGCATTTTTCCGGAGGAACATTTGCCAAAAATGATAATTTCGATTTTAAAAGGTGAGGTTCTGATACGTTTTCTATGAACAGCGTAAGATTATAGATTTTCCTCTAATATCTACATTTTAATTCTGATCTTTGTTTAGCAAAACGTTGCGTTTTGTCACAGGAGGGGATGCAATCTAAGTAAACAAAACGAATCTTTTAATTTAAAAAAGCAATGTTTTGGTTATCCATTTTGTGACATGCCCACTAAATTTTGCACTACTTGCAAAAAGACCACCTTGTTTGTTTTTCTCCCTCAACACTAACTGCGCAAGTGATGCAGTTCGATTGGAGGATTGTAATGATGGCATTGAAAATCATTTGATAAGCTGTCATTTTTCCAAAGAAGGACTTGAAGAACGCGAGCTTAGGGACTTTGCATAAATTGTCAGGAGGGGGCTGAAAAAATGAGCTTAAAAGGAGAAATTATTATGTAGTGCTGCCCTCCTTTCCCAAAGCAGAATTAGTTCAGCACCCTTCTTAATCTTTTGATAATTTTTAATACCCCCTCCTCACACCGCACCACCAAAGTCTTTAAGTTGGGAAGATCGCAGCTTGTGAGCCTGGGCCAACCCCCCCACCCCTTACTGAGGACTTGGAGCCGGACATTTGATTGTGTAAAACCCTACATTTATTTACCTCAAAGACAGACAAGGCACGCTTGGTCGACCTTTGCAGGGCAAGCTGTTTTGCCAGGGAAGCCCAGGAGATTGTCTGGGACTTCGGCACCTGAGGACGAATGAACTTACAACTGTTTTTTTTAGGACATTATCCAATTACAATGGTTTAGGAGATGTTGCTGCAAATTATGTTTTTAGGTGAATTTGGCGTTGTGGATACTAGCTAAGGAAACAAACTGAATGCAGGGCTGGCACTAACGCAAAGGGCTGATTTATTTTAGGCCAATATTATATCATAGAGCTAAGGATTATAGAAAATTTATAACACAAATCAGTTCTTTTGCAGGGACTAAAAGATGTGGTAACGTGTCTAAAATGAGATGATATATTTTTTTCTAATATAAACTTCACATTTTCCAACAACATTGAGCAATTGACAGCTCATTAATTTTCCTGTTTTCCAATGCATGTGGAATTGTCTTTACAATTTAATGCAAAGGCACATGACATTTAATGAAAGTTAGGGTCCCCCCCTGTAATAAGAGTAATTTTAATTTGAGCACCCCTATCCTGGTATTATTTCTACTTAAAACCCCTCGTCTGTTTTCTTTAGCAGCCCCCTCCACCCCTTCCCTCCCGATAATTGTTACAAACTCCCTGTCTCTTGCAAGGGCTGGCCTTGGTTGGGCTGGCTGCTCAATATGCCCCGGAAAAATGTGGAGAAAGTGTGGATTTGTGCCAGGGATCGCCACTTACTGGGAATCTTTGAGACGTAAGCTGACTTGTCAGTACCCTGAGTACCACGGTGAAAACAGACGTGTCCTTGGAAGAGATGTTATTAACTTTATGGATGTCTCAGGACATACATAACATGTTTGCAATCGTCATCCCTGTAGAATCAGGTACTCCTTTTATGTTATTACTTAGAAATGTATGTATGGAGTTTTCGTTTTCGTTTTTTCTACTTGGTGATATATTATTCAACCATGGAAATAAGAACAAGACTTGCTTCATTTACAAAAGTGTGTCGACTTAGTAGATTTTGAAATTGATGTGATACTGATCATGATGTGATCCAAGATCACATGGTTTGACCACCGTGTTTTCTAAGAGGTCTGTTGCACTGATTACTGGCAGAAAAATAGGGTACATGTAAGAGTTTCCTTGGGTTTGAACGTCAGAACTCGCCCGCACTCGACTCTTAGAAAAAAAAGAAAAAAAAATTCTGAGGTCGACTTGTGGAAAGTGTAGTTTTTGAAAAAAAATAACAGTAATCGAATCAACAGTCGATTATTGAATCGAGGCTGAATATGAGTATTGGATTGATCATTTTGTAAAGGGATAATTTAATCAACTAACGAAATAATTTTGCCATTAATGAATTCATTAGTTCGTTAGCGACGGGAACGAGGTGGAACGCTTGACCTGCTTTGACTGTAAGCATTTTTTTAAGAGTCCCAAACGCTACTTTTTGAGTCCTTGCTTCTTAAGTTTTCCCAAAACTTTTTTCGACGTCTTCACTTGCTCAAAACAGAATAATGGCCAAAACATTTTTCAAAACAGCGACTCTCTTGTGGCGATGACACAAGATCAGCTGTTGTGAAATTTTCCGGCAGTTAAGGCATTCTCAAGTTGTCAAGAACTCTTTTTGTCTCCGTTTAACCATCTTTCTTTTATGTAAATGGCTCTTTCTGAACTGTTTTCGAGGCTTTTACTTGCTCGATTCGGAATAATCTCACAACAATGTGTAAAACCGTGCGCCATGTTGAGCAAAACAAAGAAAACAAGTTTCCCGTGACGTCATCCATGTATCTGTACTCTAACAACTCATGGACAACGACCAATCACAGCGTGCGTAGCATTCACACAATTTTATAATGTTTAATAGAAGCACTAGCCTGCAAGCAAGCTCTCCTATTTGGGCGAGCGAAGCGAGTCTCACGAGAAGGCGCGAGCGAGCGGCGAAGCCGTGAGGGGCAGAGGAAAGGAGGGCTTGCAACGATCTCTCATAAAATTTCATTTGTACTTCGCCCAGACGAAGGGAAATACAATTGGCTGAAAAATGACGTTCCGGAAAACAAAGTTGATTGATAACAGGCCAAGCTGGCAACCCCCTTCGTCTGTGTGACAAGTTGGGTTCTCAGGGGGATCAGATTGGTACCGAAAACTTGGTTAAGCCCAGAAAGCAGACGAGGGGGCTCGTTTGATTTAGTTCTCGCAAAGAGAATATTGCGAGCGAAGGATAAGTCGGACCGAGTTTATAGTTCTTGTGGAAGGAAAATGAAAACCCTTCATCAGTTGTATTCGTTCGTGTCGAGCGCCTTGTTTAGTTCTGAAAACGACAAGAGTGAAAGTGAATAGAGATTCAAGCGCCCGGTTCAAGCGCTGCCTTCCAACGTCGGTTTCTTCACCCGATTGAATTCCACTGGGTGGAAAAATTCAGAAACATGTACTTGACAATGTAGCTGTGTAGCTTGACCGTAAAGAAGGACAAGAGAAAGAGTATGTAGCAAGTGCAGTACAACTTTTAAAAGAGAACCAAGTCAAGGAAAACGCTATTCCCCAGTTCCGGAACGAGACAAAAATATTATGTTTTTGTTGGTGATTGCGACGGGGAGTAGTCTTCTACACTGCAGTATGGACGACTTTTCAAAAGTAAACGAAACGAGAATCAAAGTATTGAGTTCTCATTCGAGCGGACACGTTGAAGTTCGATGTCCCCTTGGAAAAAAAGCATATCAGCGATTAAAAACATTGTTTTGATGCTGTTGCTCAAAGCGATTTATAAATAAATAATGCTACGCGCCCTGGGCTGTCTAAACTTGACTGATGGTTGTTACTTTTCTAATCGGCGGGACGTTTGCGGTGACCGCTTTCACGCTTTGCGGTGTTCCGGGGTTTCCGGGGTGGAAATGCAAATTTATGAGAGATCGTTGCAAGCTGTCCTATCCTCGGCCCCTCGCTCGAGCGTTCTGGCGAGGCTCGCTTCGCGCGCCTAAATAGGAGAGCTTGCTCGCGGGCTATAGAAGCACCATTAATTATTAGAGATATAGCAGTCTTGAGAATCTTAAACCTTTTCCTGGAGCCTATCAGCATAAACTCTGTTTAGGCTGTATTCAGAGTCAGCCAATAACTGATATCAATGAATCAGATCTTGATTTAAATAAACGCCAATATAATCGATATTATCAGAAGCAAAGGTTAGATGAGTGCCATCCTCATACAAATGAGGCTGACTATGGGACAGAAAATTTGGGAGGTCGTTAATGTAAAAAAAGGAACAGCAAAGGCCCCAAGATTGTTCCCTGAGGAATGCTTCAGGATAAAATATACTGCTTATTAACGAAGTTACTTGGGACATTACGTCCTTTTGACAATGGAGTTATACCTTAAAGAAGATGTTTCAATTAATTAGTACATACTATCGTGTGTAACTTTGGCGGCCGTATTATAAGCGCTTTAGGAGATTCTGCAAAGCCCCCATTCCAAATGTGAGAGAAAGAATGCCCAAAACAGCCCGGTTCACTGAATTGGGTTAAAATGCCCAGAAAGTAAACTGGTACCAAATATATTATAAATATTCTCTTTGAACAACAATAAAATGGCTTACGAGTTTGCATTATCATTCCTGGTGAACCTATTCGTACGGGGATTCTTGTAATAAAAACAGTGGCCGGCAGTCAACACCCATTGACTGGAGATTAAGGCGCCACCACAAATAAGCTGAAATTCACCTGGAAGAAAAACATTCAAACAAAATGTATTTAAAAAAATTAATACGCCCACAGCTACGTAAATCACAACTGAGTTTAGACGTTTATAAAAACAACATACAGGTTTGGACTCTTCTCCACTGTCATATATAGCACAATAATTGTTCAGTGAGAAGAATTACAGAACTTTTTAGATGCATTCTCACTGAATTACCTTTTTGTGACATATTGTTGTCCGTCACTGAAAACGGCCCTTTTAAATTGAGACTGTAACTTAAGCTTTGTATTCATATCAGCTTCATCCAGGCGGTTTAAAATATAACGAGTTTCTATAAGCAAGTTGACAATCATGCAAAGCATTGCATGGGCGACATGGGGCGTTTAAACCAACCTACAAAAACATAAATTTTGATAGAGTTGGAATATTTTTTCTATAGAGTTCTCAACTTTTCAGGGCGATAAAGGTGATTAAAGTGTAGTTCCAGCGTTCCCAGGTTATTCATCACTTTATTGGTTCAGTTCTGTTTCATCCACGGAAATGGTTCAGGAGAGTAAAGGAGACACCGGTTACTTCGTTTTTTTTTTTTTCTCTTGGCGCAGGAATCTCATTATGTTGATGTGGGTCGATGTGGTGGAGAGAAAATTGAAAAAAAAAAAATTAAAAGGGAATAAATGAATTGTGAAGGAGCCGTAGGGGGTGGGTAAGTACAATGGTCTTTCATTCTAAAAAGAGCTAGTTTGCCTTCGCCCTCATTAATTCGCACGAAGGACAAAGCTATGCGGACAATGAAAAACTAATAAACCAAAAAACAGCACTAAAGGCGCGAACACGAAAATAACTAAAAACGCGGCGAACATAAAAATACTATAAAGGTAACGGAAAACATTCCTGGCGCTTACAACATCTGTCACCTGGATGTGCAATATCAGGTTGCTCCTGGGCTCCCAAATTAGCTAGAAAGCGTGAGATAAACATTGGTTTTCCTGTAGTGCGGACGGACGGATGGTCGGTGGTCGATCGGTGTACGGTCACGTGATTACCGAATTTTCTAGGATGGATAGATTTACTTAGCTATGGGGTTACGCTCGCGCGCGCGTAAAGCCCCGCTATGAATCTTACTAAAACAAATAAATTATAATAATTTATACAATGGAATACAACAAATATAATGCAACACAATACAGTAACTTTATTTATCAACGGCTTAAAATCATCAGGCAATTATTAAAGAGAACTACTTAAACACGATTCCAAAACCAAAAGAAAAAGGTTACCATGATCGTTTATTGTGTAGATTCCAACTTGCCAGGGCCACCATCCTCTTTTAGATTTGCTGCCTCCAACGATCCTTGCCCTGAAATCGACGGGACTCTCCCCACAAGGAGAGTAATCTTTTTCAAATGCAAAGGAAAACAGTCAGTTAACAGAAAGGGCAAATTATCAATAGATGAAACTTCAAATTCCCTAGACACTTTCTCGAACCATCTTCACAACCTGGAACCGAGATTTGAGTAAGTAATTTAATTAGTTTTTAAGTAATTTAAAGCGTGACAATTCAAGGTATATGCATTATTAGTAACTGAAGGCCTTTTTGGAAAAATAATCCTTTATACCCTTATTAATATACAGGAAAAAATTATTGAATTCTTATTGACTGAGAAAGGAGTGCAGTTCCTCTGTAACACGAGTGCAAACTGTGTAACGCGAGTGCAAACTTGTAACACGAGTGCAAAGTCAAAATGGTCTCTGATTGGCTGAAAACACAAAAGAAACGACCAAGAACTAATCAGATTAGACCTGTTTTAAAAACAAATTTAAGAAAATGACCAAGGGTTTCAGCAAACAACGATATTTTGTAAGCAAAACAACAATAGAGAAATAAAAAAAGATATATTCCAAAAACCCGAACACAGTAATAAGTACGTTTTTTCTGGCTAAATGTATTGAAAGTTCGGAGCTAAGAGAAAAATACAGTCAACAAAATCGAGAAAATGAGCCAGAGAAACTAAATAAGCTACTTGTAACAGACTACGCTAAAGTGAAAAATAAACAACAAAAACCGTGGCAACCACACGCAAGCCATGACAGCTACTTTTTTCAGGCACTGAAACGAACAAGGATACAAGTTTTCCATGATAACAACAGGGATTTCAAGTCACGTACGTTATTTGTTGGAGGAGAGAGGTGTCCGTTGTCGTGCGAAGACCTCTATTAAAACATCCACGCGATGGTCTGTTTCTTTCTACCTCAGTAGCAAAGGAAACCGAAAATTTAAACATCTAGTTCAAACTAAACCAATGGGCGAAATTATCATAACTAACATAATGAAATTATCCGTAGCTGGTACTAGCCTTGAAGAAAGTGAGAAAAAACGTTTGCGAGCCATAGTGCAAGATAAAAAACAGTCAGCAAGCTGAAGAAAGCAAAGATTTTAACTTCAGAATATATCGCCAATGTCACAGGCCGTAGAGGTTCACATTTCGTCAACGACTACGATGAAGCCGACGAAGAAGAGCGACGATGACTCTCTCTTGCAATATTCAAACGAAATAATGAAAACCCCAGCACTAAGAAAGAGCACTGAGATATTATATTAATACTGGCAGTTTCCGACATAACAACAACTGTGGCTCCACTCAACCATCGATGGTAGTGTCGAAAGAAAACAAATTGCCTCCTTTTTTTTCGGGTTTTAAATCTCAAAAATTTCTCCATGAATAATGCTATGAATCAAAGAGCTATGATGGGGTCTCAGGAATAGACAATGATGAACAGTCGTTAAGCGACTCAGCAAGTGTCTTTCATCTTTGGCTGCTCGAAGCGTTCTGATTTCAAAACGGAAGTATACTCTTTGTAGACGCCGAGCTCTCATAATCGAGGATAAATTTAAAAACACTTACTTTTGCTGATTATTGTTAACCAAGTTATCTTTAACAGGCTGGTGACCGTGTAAAATCCGGCAGGGCTAAAGTGCAGGTCACAGGTCACAGGTAGGGTTACAGGTCACAGGCCAAAGGTCAGCTCACAGGTCACACACAAAAACAATAGGACACTGGACAAAACTGTTCTTGATTGACATTTCATTATAAAAAAATAAAACTAGCCAAGGAACCTCAATTTTTTCTGTCCTGAACTTTACCAACTTCCACACATGAGATAATATATTCATGTTGATCACGCAAGGAGGACTTGCGTTACAGCGTAACCAAAGTTGGTAACAAAATCACAAAGGTATGCAAAATCACGTGATTTGTAAAAAAAAAGCGAATCTCAAAACGAAGGGTTATTGCGTTAAGAATATCGTGGCGTATTTGTGGAAGTCTTGAAAAGCATTCGACGGGAAAACGGAAGAAAAACCTTAGGACAGGGTAAAACTTTCTTCAGACTTTCCTCGTCTTTAATACTAAACTGTTCTTGCCACTCGGTGGGTCTTCTATCTCTTTTGAAGATGGCGGCCTGTTGCTCGCGCTTCGTACCAGGCACAAAATGCTGCTGCGTTATGCATCAGTCAATTCCAGCTGCGCCCCAGCCTCCCCCGGGCTACTGTGGGGCATTTGCCCGCCTTGTCAGTCCCGGGGGTGGGGCATTTGCAAATTTTGTACTGCCCGGGGGCCGGGCATTTGCCAACCCCAGGGCCATTCCCGAGCTTTTGACATGAACGCGCTTTCCTATTAGAATATAACTTCACCGAGGATTTTACTGGGAAAGAAAGCAGATTGGCTCATCTTTCAAGGACAGGAAAAAATTGAAGAGGGTTGTAGAGGCATGTTCTTGATCTTATGCATGCATTTCTTCATTGCTTATCAAGCCAGAATTATCCGGGAGAATTACATAGCGAAATCGGGAGCTATCGACGTGAATTAACATTTTTTGGTAATTGAATCAAATTTCTATTGATATTATTTGAAAAACATCCTTGCATTTTTATAAAACTATTCATAACATATAACTGGGCGCAGCTGGAATTGACTGATGCATTGAAGTGTAGTCGGCCAAGAACTTCAAACACTGCTATTTGGGCCTCTCGAATAGCTGTTAAATGTGTGTGAAAACTGAAAAAATAACCTGGCATGGTATGGATTTCGAAGGAGAGATAGATGGAAGAAGTGAGAGAAAGACGAAAACTTTGAACAGTGAGGGAGCTAAGGAAAAGAATGAATTCAAAGAGGACAGACAAAATGCCGCCTTGAATAGATGGAAAGAGAAAAAATGCATGGTCAGTTTACACGGAAAATGCCTGAGACAGTTGACAAAGATAAGACCTGGGAGTGGACTAGGAAAGGTGACTTGAAAGTTGAAACTGCAACACTGATTTTTGCAGCCCAAGAACAGGCACTGAAAACAAGCTAAGCTAAGTTCAACAGGGACAAGTCCGTGGACTCCCCGCTTTGTAGTTTGTGTGGCCAAAAGGGTGAAACAATAAATCATATAATAGGTGAGTGTAAGAGTTTGGCGTAGAAAGAGAAGACATGACACCATTGCCAGGCTGGCCCAATGGAAGCACAGCTGTAAGTGTGGCTTGAACAGAAAGCAAAAGGCTGGATACATGGCTTGACAAGCTGGAGATTGCCATTAATACGGGTTGTTAGGAACAGCAAGGATCTTAAGGAAGGTACTGGAAAGGTGAATGAGGATAATTAACCCAAGGGACCTTTGGCCATTGGCTATGACTCGCTCCCTTGGTGTAATGTCGGTACAACATCCACCAGGAGCTAAACAATTTCGTTTATAATTAGAATAAATAAATGATAATATCTAAAACAGATTGGAATACAGTAAAATCCCAGCGACTAAGAATCTGGATTATAAGAAGCTGTTAGGCTGAAATTTGTCAGTTAGGCCTTCTCTTTACAGGAACCTGTTAAGCATAAAATTCGAAACAAGTCCTAATTTTCAAAAATCTATCAAAAAAAAATTCTGTACACTTCGGCAAATAAATCAAGTATACATTCAGGCTCCTCTTTGGTAACATAAATGTTATTACTAAACTACATTGGAAGGAATAAGCTGAATATGGTTATAGATACTCAGTGTTAGCGAAAATGCATCTTTTCTTCGCAAAATAAGAATCTATTTGAGAACCTACATAGCCTAAATTTGTGCTAATTACCATTTATCTAAGAACCTGTTTAATAGGCTAAATCCAGGTTTTTAGTCGAGAGTTTTTATTCTATCTTATTATCAAAGAAATAAGACTACAAGCTTACACAACGACTGCGCTACAAAAGAGGGTAAGTTGTCGTACACTTTTGAAGCAAATCCTTTACAAAGGGTAGGTTGGTTTTCAAAACTTCTTACCAATTCTCATGTCAACAGCTTTCTTTATAGCGGCCTGGAGAGTGGCAAGCTTTCTGACTTTTATCACATGATTGTCTTCGTTAGTAGCTGAGGCGATTTTTGTAAGCTCGCGATCATTGACTTTTTTCCCAACCCCTTAAAGAAAGAAAAAACATAGTACAATGGAATGTTAACTCTGGAACGTACAAGGGGGGGGGGGTGGTTGCCACCCCCCACCTTTGAGATTATTCTGAGTTTTTTCCAAGAGTATAAAACGTCAGCACCTGACGTTTTCAGTAGGTGTTCGTTTATCCCTCGCACGCATTTTGAGACAAGTTCAGTAATGGTCAGTTTCTATGGTTACGAGATATGTCGTCATAAGTACCAGGTGGTCAAGCCATTTTTGAGTGAAAATAGATTTCCTTTCAACTTCTCTTAACAATAAAAGTAAATCTTGTGCCTAAAATTATGCAAAGTGCTTATTCATGTGTAAAGCACACAAAATTACTATTTCTCGCGGTTTTAACCTGATTTTTAATTCTTGGTAAAATCTAAGATGACGTCCAAGATGACGACCATTGTTGGTGTTGTCACAGGCTTCCAGCAGCCTTACCACCCATAAAATGACCTCATCTTGTTGAGAAGGCTTTCCACTGAAAGCAAAATCTTTTCGAAATACTGCAACATATCAAAAACTCTGGGGAGGGGTTCCATCCACCCCCCCCCCCCTCCCCTCCCCTTGTACCACGGTGGGGGTAAACACCGGTTTGATGCGTATTTTAAGCTTTCTTTAGGATCGACCACGTCAGGATTTTGCATTGGCATCATTATCAGCATCATCACCATTATCATCATCGCTGTCGTGATTGTCGTCGTCCTCAAGGTCATCGTAGTAATCATCACCATCATAGTAAGTACTAAGCGATAAAACATTTTAACAGGAGTGGTACAATTGGCAATTATTGGACGAGGTTGAGCAAAATATCGTCATTTGTCAGTGGCAAGCAGATCAATTATTGATTATTATTGATCTGCGAGACACTCACAAATCACGATATTTTGAGATCGAATGATAATATACGTTATTGTCAAAGCTATTTTCGAGCTGAATAGAAAGAAAAAGAATATATCTCAAAATGTTAATTTCATTTGGAAAGGAATTCAGCCTGGTAAAATAAGAAAATAGCGTTGGTGGCAAACACAGTACCTATGGTAAAACGGTCCTCACAGCTTACCTACAGCGTAGATTTCAAAATCAAATTGTTCATTTTCTTTAAGAATTTTGGCTTCCCTTTCCGGGGGTCCCCCGATGTTGGACTTTCCGTCAGTAATAAAAATCATAGCTCGTTTGCTGCCTTTACGAGCATTTGGTGCAACTACCGTCCTGACCAACTTTAACGCCTTGGCTGAAGCAGTAGCCCCTCCTGCGTACTTCACTTTTCCAATTTCTTCAATCGCCCGCTCTAGTGTGGCTACTTTAGCATCTCCCAAGTTAAATTCAAGCACAGCTTCCGTTCCAAATGTTACAAGAGCTATCCGAGTACCGTCTCTCCTGAAAAAAGGTAAAATTTAATGATACTAGCTGAATGAATGCTTTTTAATAGCACGATTTACACGCAAACACATGACGTAGTTTGACGTCATTATGGCTTCAAATCAATGTTGACGAACTTGTCAAGACGACTGTAAAATGTTCACAGACAAATTTTAGGGAAAGTCGCCACGTTTAGCTGTCATAGCTTGGACGGTTTTTAACGTTTGAACAAGGGTGAAGGGAGAGCTCAAAAGCCCCCCATTCTGAATAAGGTTAATACTTACTGAATGTACCTATCTTACACTGAGTTAAAAACTAAATTTTGCGAAGATGAGACATTGCTATATGGCAGGGGTTCAATGCACTGGCCTCTCAGTGGTGCATTTAAGATAATGTCACAGTGGAACTTCTATATAACGGACCTCTATGTAACGAAATCCTCGGTCTAACGATTTCTTTCTTTACCCCAGGAATAGTAAAATAAACGGAAAAGAGCTTTGATATAACGAAACCTTTTTATAGCGAACATATTTTACCAGTCCCTTATATCGAGGTCCCCCTGTAATTTAGGTTTGGAAGTTTTTTGTATTGATGCTTTTGCCTTTTACATATTACGTCATCAGTGAAGATAAAAGAAACAACAACAACAGCACAACAGAAAAAACGAACAAACATTTGCTTCCTACTGACTTCCATCGTGCGATGTTAGACATTATCAGAGTTTTATTAAACTTATAGTAAGGGGTTAAACAACTGGGGGGCAATGCCGCGTATTTGAAAATGTAAGACAGTTTTTGTTAACAATTAAAAACTTTGTCATACCTTCTACTTAGCCCAATGGTCTTGATAAATTCTTGGGCAAAACTCAAACTTAAATTGAATCCGTCTCTTGTTACACTACTAGAAGCATCAATTACAAACACTAGATCCAGTCCACTGTCTGTGTCTAAGAGAATGGCTCTTCCTCGGGTATCCATGCTTTGAGAATTGGTTCTGTTACAGCCAGTCTCGTTGTCATGGTTACAGGCATATCCTTTAAAGTTGTCAATCATATTTTTACGAAGAATGAAAGCAGTCTCGTTAACGTTTTGAAAGCTGTCTTCGAATTCATCTACAAAAAATGATTGAAAGGTGAAGTAATTATTAATTTAAAAGTAGCACAACAAGGCAAGCCTAACGTTTAAGCCGCAGTAAAAGACCTTTCCACCCTTTCTTGAACTTTTGATTTGGACCACTTGGGGAAAATCCGTCAACACCACTGAAAAGAGCGCCTTAAAATTACTAAAACTGCCAAATTTGAAAGTTTCAGAAAGCTTTTTTGTGATCGTTTGTGCTTTTTAATCTCGTTTTTAGTAGTTTTATGCAGTTTTTTACGATTTAAGTAACCTAGGTAATTTTTATAGTTTTAGTGTTTACATAATTTTTTTTAACTCTTTTTGGTAGTTTCGTGCACTTTATCCATCGTATACTTTATGTAGCATTTTTTTATTTATTTATTTTTAAGCGCTCATGAAAATAGCAATATTTATATCGGCGCTATATAAGTATTATTATTAAGATAAGTAGGGGGGGGAGCATGTTTGTGCCCTTCACGTATATAAACGTCTGCAATTTTTCGCGACTTTAAGGAGCAATATCTTCTTTGACTTTCAACAAATCACTTTCAAGTTTTGACAATTTTACTGTTAACGGATTATTTCCTAACTTATCCATATCAAGAGTTGAAAAAAAAAATTCCGTGGAAGGGTCCATTAAGACAGACACAATTTTTGTGGTTTTCAGCACAACACTTAGGCACGCAAATTTGTGTCTGTATCAATAACAGGCAAACACTTAATTGTTTAACTTTCTTACATTTCGGTCATTTCTTGACAAGAATCGAGAACAACAGAGTTGTTAGTTTATTTCCTTGTGGGATGTGGCCATTAGCGAACACAAGGGAAGTGAAAGTTTTACCGATTTTCCGGCATCACTTTGGATTATTTTATAGGTCAGGAAGACCCCACTCAACTGATTTTGACGCCGATAAAATTATAGCCTGAAACATGTCGTTACAAAAGTTTGAGTTTCTAGCCTGGTATAGTCAAACTGATCTGGAGACTCTAAACAACTGTGATTAGGGAAAGAGTTATTGAGATTCAAGAAAAAGGCAATTAGACACGTAGCACCATACAGTTTACCTATGCATATTGCCTCTGTCCCGTTCCACGTGCCATTCTCCATACATCTTCTAACCGCTGAACCTTTTAGTACGAACCCTTGGTCACATTCAAATGTCACAATGTCTCCATGGTTATATTCACTGCCGTATTTCCGCCCGCTTATGGGTTTTCCAAGAATTAGACAGTCGGTATCTGCAACATGGGAATAGGAAGTGAGAAAACAACAACAACAACAACAATGATGCAAATTATTTTTCCAAACATTTACTGCCTGTTGTGTCAGCTGTAGACATGAATCTAATTTTATATTTGAGGACTGATATATAGGCACAAACAAATTTAAATGTCTTGTTCCATTCCTTTAAGCTTGTATGCTCCTTTTAATTTCTTAGCAATTTCTAGCCAAGACTGTTATTTTGCTCACTTAAACTCACAAAAAGTAGTCGTTCTCCCAGTTTTATTATTATCATTATTTTCTCGCTTGAACTTGTCTTTGTACATTAACCGAATTATCAAATTTCCAAAAGAAAAACACATCGTTTGACTATGGAAATGAAAGAACTATAAATTCACTATTTGTTCACACTTACTTCCATCCTGGCAAGTTGTCAAAGACCCGTTCCATTCCAAATTTTCCGTGCACGTTCTCTCTCTGGAACCATGCAATACAAATCCGTACTGGCAGGAAAATCGGACACTGCTTCCGACAGTAAAGTCTCCAAAACGGTCTCCATTATTAGGTCTACCTGGATCAGGACATTGTTTTTCTGGAAAGGTTATGCAAAAGAGTAGAACAGAGAGCTTCAAGCAAACCTGAATTGGAAGGTTTGTACACCCTGTTTAAATCATGGGGTCCTCTTTGACTTATAGTATTTGGAAGCGAACAAGCGAAAACTTCAATTGGATTGGAATTAATGCCTAACCCTAAACTATTTTTACTTTTGCCGTAATTTTATTCAAGTTTAATTTATTAAAAACACTTTGGGTATATGCCGTAATTAATCCTTGCCCGCAAAGTAGCTTATAGCCGTAACGAACAGCGAGTAGTTCACCGTCACCACCCACAACTGTTTTGCCCTGTGATTGTATTTCTGTATGATATCACCTCCTCTGTTTCCAGCTAGGTAGTGATTTTTGTAAGTGACAATAGCACAGCGAATTGTTTAAAAGCCGGTGGCACATCGCTACATCGCTTTTAAACCCACTTTCTCTATCTGAATATCCGTCATTTTCCCCGCTGAAGCTTCAGTTACCTTTGCAGTAAGGTAATCTTCGAGAATCCCATCCAAATTCCTTGCAGGTGATTACGTCCTTGCCCCTCAGCTGAAAGCCTTCATTGCACTCAAACACCAATTCAGTCCCATAGCGGTATTGCGGGTCCGATGTCATCACGCTTCCATTTCGAATGGTAATATTTCCAGGATTCGTGCACTGCATTGCTACAAAAGTTTAAAACAACTTAAGTGACACAGATCTTCCTTACAAAACAATTATGTCCAACTAACGCATGTAAATGGTATCGCTATCCACGCTATATTTGTTGATTTTTCGCTAAGGACAAATTAACACAAAAACCTTTAGAAAATCAATAAAACACGAAAAGTCAAAAAACGAACTGGCCTGAGCTGTCTTTCCCATCGTTCACAACATCGCAACGTTTCAGTTGGTAATAAGAGCTTCAAATGGTTACGGGATTATAAAGACATAGATGACATTTGCAACGTCAAGTCCCTTTAAGCAGAAATGCTTCCTTTTTCCTAGGATACTGGAAACGCTACCAAAGCCGGCACCTTGTCGGGCACGCCTCAGAACGTGAAATTTACCTTTGTACTGTATAATGCTAAAAAAAACCTTACGTGAACAGGTAGGAGGTCTGGACCATTTTCCATTCTCGCGACATGTTCTCTTTCTCGGACCGCTCAACTTGTATCGCTTTTTACAGCTGTATCTTAACTTGTCTTTATAGCCAAAGCTACTGCCATGGAACTTCGCATGAGGGATATCTGCGGGACGTCCGCAAGGCCCTGCAAGAAACATTTGGGAGCAGGAATACTCGATGGTTCGAGTCCGTTCTTTGTAATACAATCAAAGCTTTGGAAATATCTCCTGAACTGACGATAGAATGACTTCTCTCTTTTCCTTTTGCCTATGTCTATTATTGGTCATGATCAATGCACGACAAACTGTTTCTGAATAGACTTTGGTCACTACACGCAGGTCAACCTTGATTTTCGTAGAAGTGAGAATTATGCTTGGCCCTTTGTGTCCCTTGCTCTTCAGCATACCACTGGTTTTCACTACCACGCGAATATCTCCAATTGGCGACAAAATCACGTGGAGACAGTCCTAAAATGGGGTAACTTCGGAAAACACAACAATCCACATCTCCTCCCTCCCCCTCCATTTAAAGTTGGGGTTTGTTGTTTCCCACTGGTAGCACTGGATGGGGGAAGAAAATCTTTCTTTTCCCTTTTTTAAGTTTAACTTAGCAAAAAGTTAGAGAGTCCCTTCAGAACGAAGTGTCTCAATTAATTTTTTCGCCGATTGCAGCGGCAAAGGGCGGCCTACTGAAACTTAGTAAGGCTTTGAATGTAACTAACACAGTGTCTAAAATTCCAAAGCCTCAAAAGTTTTCAACCATCAGTTGGGAGTCAAATGTATAATAATTATTAAGATAGAGGGAAATTACTTATGATGTCTGCTTTTTATCACAGAAAACAAAAAAGATGAACGGCTTAATAATAATAGAAAAAAGAAAAGAATCATAAAACAGGAAGCCCACGTTACAGTGATGTGTTTCAGTAGCTATCTGTACAAATAAGAAATACGAAATAACATAGATTTTATATAGTTATCAAGTCACCATCATGTACTGTTGTACCGTTGACTCATTTTTAGTGACACAAATGACAATGAATGTACTCGGAAAGAAGGCTAAGTAGTTGAATTCTTGACAATCACATTATTTGGGTGTATACCTACCTACAAATAAGAATCAGTATGAATGATAATGCTCGCTCTATTTGACTACCAATGAACAATACCTAAACACCGAGGTTCCTGCTTTTCCTTCCATTTTCCATTCTTGCAGCTCCTTATTTTCAGACCAACCAATTTAAACCCGTTACGACACCGATATCTTGCCTTGGAAAGTTTGATGTTTATACCGACAATGGTGTTGTTGTTCGGTGGATTTTTCTGGAGTTTTCGAAGTAGTTTTTCACATCCTTGTTCTGAAAGATGTAATAAAATATACTCAGCTGAACGGTTGTAGCAGGAGGATTTGTTGGCGTGCGATGAAACTTTAAAATTTGCGTGGCTAAAACGAAGCTTCCGGTTTCTTTCAAATCAACTATTCTGTCATGTCAGTATTCTCCATAAGCCTTAGATCTTTGTTACCTAGCACGGTTAAATTCATTTATAATTAAACTGTTCCTTGTTTGTTACATGTTGGGCGGTGGGAGAAAGCAAACAAATTAAAAAGGAAAGTATTGCGTACAAGTCCTTCCGTACGCGCAAATTTTATCACTCGTGCCAGTTATTTGTAAATGTTCTTTAATTTGGCTGTGCGCATGCGTGAAGTCAAGGCTATGCTACGTTATTTCCCCATACCTTCCACATATCATCTGCACCCTACCTCGTGTGACACGCAATTTTTGCAGGAGTTTATTTTTGCGGATAGGCGATTTTTTGTGTTTTGCGGGAACTAATTTTTGCGATTAGAACAGATTGGTTTTTCTTGCTGGGAATTACTGCACTTCTCAAAAACACGCGAACTCTGAAGTTCAAAAGCCGCATTCACAATAACCTGCGATCAGGCCCAATTTCAGCTGTTCTCATACATTTTCTCTTAATAATAATAATAATAATAATAATAATAATAATAATAATAATAATTTATTCATTTATAGTGCGCTTTTTAACATGCTAGGTGATCAAAAGCGCATCTTATGTGCTCCCGCTAAAATTGGGCTGATACAAACTCTCTCACGTTTGTGCTCACTGCGGCCAGATTTTGGCCGCAACGCTGATTGGGTGTTAGAACAATGCTACAGGATCTGATCGAAATCAACGGAAGTTGAAAGTGCTTCTTCCTCGCTTGGCTGATAGCAGTGAAAAACCTTCGTGAATGATCTTCCGTCAGTGGAGAGAAGGAATCTGCTGTCTTTTTTTATTGTTTTACGGTCTTGTGGTAGGAAAATATCCCTTTATATGTGCCACGGAAATTCAGAAAATTCAAATAGTGGTACGTATTTTCTCAGGATTTGCTCCATTTACGGAACTAATCTGAGTGAATTGCGGAGTTGAAAACCTCAGCAGGTTGTTGACCGCGAAGAAAATGCTTTTTTCATCGCTGTTCAAGGAATTTTTGTCGGCATTATTATAAAGGCTAGTGCTGCTAGTCTTAAGGTAACAGACTTGTCTTTTTACTTTCGCGTTTCGCCTAGATGGCTGTTTGTTGTTTGTTAATTTCGATAAATAAAGTCATTGAGCTTTTCAGGCCTGCAGTAAAACAGCAATACAACAAAGGAGAACTACTTTGTAATATTGCTTTTCGTTTTGTTTATAGGTCAGTTGAGCATGCAGTTTTAGTAGTGTCGTTACATCTTTCCAAAGTGGCAGTTAATATTTTTAATACCTAGATTTTAAAAAAATATATTTTTTAGACAGTTGTTTCTAGCAAATTCCCAAATTGCAAAGTGTACTCACGGGACTAAATTAAATGCACTTGAGAACTGGTTTGGTTTGGTAAAGATCAGCATTGCTGGTGGGGTTGTGCATACAAGAAAAATATTAAAGGGGTACTGAAAGCAAAAGTACAATCACAAATTAAAAACTGTTTGAAATGTTTTTAACCCGATATTTCAGTTTTTAGTTGTAGCTAAAATAGGTTGTGAAAATGTACAATCGAAAAGTAAAAATGTTAAAAGTATTCGTAACCGATATCTTTATTTTTAGTTGTAGCTAAAATAGGTTCGAAATTCATTTTATCAGTATCATTTTGACCTGAGATAATTTATTTTCCTTTAAAAATCGAGCGCGTTTAGCCGGCGTCGAAAACTTTTTACCTTCTACGGCAACAGAAATAACCTTCAAGATCTCCTCGGGGAATCTCACAAGGAGTTAAATGTGATTGTGGCGACTGTTTTATTGTTATTTGAAAAAAAAAGAGAGAAAATTTTCTTCCCACGTATAGCCTGCGAGCAAGCTCTCCTATTTGGGCGAGCGTAGCGAGCCTCGCGAGAACGCGCGAGCGAGGGGCCGAGGAAAGGAGAGCTTGCAACCATCTCTCATAAATTTTCATTTCCACCCCGGAAACCCCGGGACCCCACAAAGCGCGAAAATTGTCACCGCAAACGTGCGGCAGATTAGAAAAGTGACAACCGCCTGTCAAGTAAGTTTAGACAGCCGAGGGCGCCTAGAATTATTTATTTATAAATCGCTTTCGCAACAGCATTAAAGCAATGTTTTTAATATCACTGATATGTTTTTTTTTTTTTTCACGGGGACATCGAACTTCAACGTGTCCGCTCGGATAAGAACTCACTACTTTGATTCTCGTTTCGTTTACTTTTGAAAGGTCGTCCATACTGCAGCGTAGAAGACTACTCCCTATCGCAATCACCAACAAAAACATCATATATTTGTCCTTCTGGAACTGGAGAATAGTGTTTTTTGGTTCTCTTAAGGTTTACTCCAGTTGCTTCCAACTCTTTCTCTTTTCCTTCTTTACGATCAAGCTACACAGCTACACTGTCAAGTACATGTTTCTGAATTTTTCTACTCAGTAGAATTCAATCGCGCAAAGAAACCGATGTTGGAAGGCAGCGCTTTAATCACTCTTCACTTTCACTCTCCCGGTTTTCAGAACTAAACAAGGCGCTTGACACAAATGAATACAACTGATGAAGGGTTTTCATTTTCCTTCCACAAGAACTACAAACTCGGTCCGACTTATCCTCGGCACGCAATATTCTCTTTGCGAGAATTACAACAAACGAGCCCGTCTGCATTGAGCGCTGAAACAAGTTCTCGGTATACCAATCTGATCCCCCTGAGAACCAAATTTGACACACAGACGAAGCGGGTGCCAGCTTGGCCTGTTATCAATCAACTTTGATTTCCGGAACGTCATTTTTCAGCCAATGGTATTTCCCTTCGTCTGGGCGAAGTACAAATGAAAATTTGTAAGGGATGGTTGCAAGCTCTCCTTTCCTCTGCCCCTCGCGGCTTCGCCGCTCGCTCGCGCGTTCTCGCGAGACTCGTTTCACTCGCCCAAATAGGAGAGCTTGCTCGCAGGCTACCCACGTATGAAAAATTTGCATACTAAAAAGACGTACAACGGAAGTGATTTTGGTTGGCTGATTCGGCAAATGTCAATCAATCAAAAAAGTGGGCGGCAGACGTTTCGTAGAAGGTTTGTATCTCTTTTCGTTTCGCCTTGCCCGCCGGAATCTTATTTACAAAGCGAAACGAAAATAGAGCCTGATCTCAGGTTACGTTCGCAATTACGTTTTTCGCTGCCGTCAATCATAATAACGATCACAAGTAACGAACCTTGAAACACAGAAAGCACAAAACGGATCGAAATCCGCCAATCACAAACCATGACCTTTTGAACCCGTTGAAGTAAACTTCTGTTTCCTAAGAGGTGCGCTAAGATGATTGACGGCAGCGAAAAACGCAAACGTCAATTGGCTTTTGAACTTCAGAATTCAAGTGTTTATGAAAATCGCAGTAATTTTTGCGATTTTCAGAAAGTACCCAGTATCCAGCATTGATAACGTTTTCGTTTTTATTGAGTACGTGCAATAGAAATACATATTTCATTGCATACCGTTTTGTTTCTGAATGAAAGAGACAAGTTGTGATTGAACAGACACGATCATCTCAGGACTGTATTTTTGTGTAGCGAATTTAAGTTAGAGAATACAAATGTCAAGTGAAAATTAAATCAGAACGTAACGTAACGTAACAAAGCATTGCCTAAATAGCATTGCCTAAATAGAGCATGCGTTTTACCGTTTTGAGAAGTAAAGCTGCTTTACGTTAGATTTTGACAAACAACATCAGCCTCCAATAGTAAACTATATGTCTACAACAGGTCAATGGGAAATTCAAAATTCAATGTTTGGGACACCAGTAGACTGTTTTTTTTTTCTTTCCCGACTTTTAACAGTGCTTTTAAGGGCTCAAAACATGGTTCGAGTTATCGAGGGTAAAAAATGATCCGAGGGGAAACAAAAAGTACTTCGAGTTAGCGGGAGGTTCGAGTTACCAAGGGTAAAATTACGGTAGATGTATGACTGAAATCCAGGGAAAATCGGTTTTGATTCGAGTTAGCGAGAGGTTCGAGATATCAGGAGTCAACTGTACTCTGGAGTAAATTTTTGCGGGAAAACTATTTGCCGTAATATTATATTTATTTGCGGGTCGCTGGAAAAATAGCAAAAATTTCGTGCCGCACGGTAGCTACGGTAAGTTAGTTTGTAGTAAAACGGGAATTGTTAAGCGACCATCATGAGTGACAGCCGAAGACAACAACATAGCTATAATAACAAAACAGTACGCTACTCGAGTTTTGGCGACGCTTCGGACGATCAAGCAGCCATTTTGTGGGGAATAAAACAGCTCATTTAACAAGCTTACTTGCAGTCTCGGTTCTTGTGCAGAAGAAGATAAAAAAGGCCGCAAATATGAACAGTAAAACCTGGAAATAAAATAGACCATTAAATACTGCAGGTTGTATATTTTGTTACCGTCTGTTTTAAATTGACTGAAAAGAAGAACTAGAAAGCCACTGGAAAGCACCATTTAAAGTTCACTAGAGGAATGGGACAAATGACACCTTAAAACTATAATTTTGTTTTCATTTATGAACGTTTTCTCTCGGCATTTGTCAAAATGAAAATATAAAAACGATATTTTTCTCAACAGAACGAATAACATCATCTTGCTATACATGGATTGGCTCCTTCGTGTCATACATGACGCCTGGAAACAATTGAAAAAAGACCAACGGACAACCACATTATCTTAATTAAATCAGGGTTATTCGAATCAAAATTCTAAATAAAGCAACAGTTGATATTCATTTTTTTTCTCTATAGTATTTGATTTCCCTAAATTGCTTTAGGCTTCGTATTATATGCCTGTCATCTGACATCAAAGTATGCGCAAACACGTATTTCATTGACTTGCTTAGCTAAAAAAAGTTTAGCTGTTCCTGATCCAAAAGCAATAACAACGGCACGTACAGACGTAGTCTGGAAAGTGCTCTATTACTTAAACGCTAATGTGATGATTTTAACTCAAACCGCCTCACCTGTGATCGCGAGAACATATTAAACCATTTGGTTAACTCTTGCTTTGCCTGACGAATGAATCTTCTATCAACTTCCTCTCTAGCATACCTCAGACTTTAGCATAGCTTTGTAACCGCTTGGGCTGAAGCGATCGGGTATCCACCCGAGTGATGAAAGGTTATCAAAGAAATACGGGAATTTATACGCTGCTTCAACGGAAAGAAAGGTCAAATATGTGGCCATTTCTCTATACCCGTGCTTTTCCGTGTTTTGGTTTGTTTGTTCTTTTACAACTTTGTAATACGAATAAACGAATAAGTTCCACCACTTATGTTTTTATTAGCTATCTTCTACTTTTTATTTCGAATTTTTTCAAGAATAAGGGGTCTAAACCCCCAAACAAGGATTTTTTGATAGTGATGCAATAGGCTGGCACAAACAAGTGTAATATTATACTGAGCCACCGCCACAAAAAGATACACTTTTAGCGCTGGAGATCGAGAGCTTCCAAACTCACCCGAGGTAGGCCAAAGCAGTTCAACAACCGAAACCAGAATTAACTGTATTCCACACGAAATTTTTGTCTTGATTTGGACTTTCTGGTCACAAATATGTATTTTATGTAAGGACTTTGTTTTCGGTCACTGTTACTTCCCTGAAGGAAAGCTACTTGGCTCACGTTCTTAGAATGTCTCAGTTACTGAATCTAATCTTGTTTACACGAAGTGTCAAGGTAAACTATCAATCATTTACTAAGATTACATGTGATGACAGGGGACTGAGACCTTTCAGCACGTTCGAATATGTTCCTGTTTCCTTAGTAGCTGAAACATAACGTTACTCTAAACTAAGACGCTTAGCTATCGACGACGCCACAATGTTTCGCATTGGCAGTATCTTTCTTTGTGTTTTACTGCTGCCACTGACAAAAGCAAACGACGACAATTCAGGTAAGAAGTAAATTAATACTACTGGCACAAATCCCATAACGGAACTGTATAATATATCATCAATTATGAAAGGTAAAAACGCGCTATAGTTCAACACGAAATCCAAGCAAATAAAGCGCTTCGATTGTTTGGGATCTTTCAGTTCATAAGGAAAGTTTCAAACTGGTGGGGCTTTGTTTAATTCTACTGAGGAATGACCATTTTTTTGACAGGCGGCTTATAAATAAGTGCAAATGAAAAACAGCCAGGGTCGAGGACCCCGTCGTGGACACGGTTTTTCTCTGGGTCATACTTAGGAAGGACAATTTCTCACACACTCCCAGTGCAAGAATAACTAAATTCCCCAACTGGGGGTGGAGTTCTTCATTTTCCTGTTTGAAGGGAGTCCTCAGCGTAGAACCCTGGGAGAGGTTCTAAGAGCCCCTAAAAAAAGGCACCTCTGGGGAAGGTTCTGATGGCTCCTAAAAAAATGCACCAAACGATAACGTGGGATCCGCGGGTCGATACCTAACAGACTTTTTGAGTATTATTATTAATTTTTTTTTTAATGATCTTGAAACTGTTTAGTGAAGAAATGTCCTGTCCCGAAAGCTCCTGAAAATGCCTTTGCTATCGGTAACAACACCGTTGGCTCGAAAGTCAGGATCCTATGCACCGAAGGTTTCTTTCGAATGGGGAAACCAGTTAAAATCCGGTGCCAAACAAATGGGCAGTGGACTGAAACCAACGTTACTTGCGTAGGTAGGTTTATAAACCTTTTAACGTAAATGTTTTCTTCCACTTAGATTCAGCGGAAGTAATTATCCAATTCCTTCAAGCGTTGAAAGAACCTACCTCTGCCAAATCTATTTCTAATTAATCGTTTATTGCCCTTTTAAAAGAATTAATTTTCTCACTTTATGTGGCTCAAATGTATTTGTTTGTTCCCAACTTTTCCATATAATTGGTCGTTAACTTGAAGATCATGTCGAACTTTTAAAAAGAAACTTCTGGAGTGACGCCTATTCACTTGTGCAAACGCAACAGTGAAAGCTGTTTTTAGCCTCTTAAGATGAATGAGGACGCCTATACGTGTCGCAATTCAATTTTGCTGGATCTATATAATTTTTGCGATTATTAAGAGTGCCACTGTTTGACAACGAAAAAGACTATTTCAGTGGCTAGTTATTTAATACAGTGTTTGATGCTTTCAGCTAAAAGCTGCGGGGATCCGGGATCTCCAACCAATGGAAATCGTGTCGGGTGGTTGTTCCAATACAATCAAACAGTGAGATTCAAATGCTTAGAGGGATATATTCTGGAGGGACCTAAAGCAAGAACCTGTCAAGCCAACCAAACCTGGAGTGGAATACAGCCAATCTGTAAACGTAAGCCTGATAGTCATGGGATAATTAAGTTCATCCTTTCTTCTTACTTTGCCTGATGTATACTCACGAACTTTTCCCAGGTTTTTTTTTTTTCCTAAATGCGTGATAGTATCTACTTCCTGCTCGTTCAACGTTTATTTTTTTTCGTTGCTCCGTGCACCATTTTTCGCAACTCAGGATGTAAAATTCATGATTTTAAATCCATCGTTATGAGAAAAGAGAGAGAAAGAATCGAGGAGGTTTCAATTTTTGTATACTTTAGATTAAGGCTCTCCGTTGCCAGTAGTTCAATGCCACGCGACCCTCAGAACATGTGATCGACCACTCCCTTTATGTTAACGAAATCATAGTCAGATCACATCTTTTTGTTAGTAAGAAAGCGAAAAATGGATTGACGCTTGTGCTTCCAAATTATTTTTGCATGAAATGGCTCAAGGCCAAACTCGGGTGGTTAGTTTCAAGCGAAACTATGGCGACTCTACCAGGGGTTGAGTGAAACAAAAGAATTTGTTTTTAACACTGAGTCCTCGTCAATATAAAGGCTGATAAACCTTATCGACAACTTAATTGTTAACAGGCAATTTTTGTTTTTTTTGCGTTATTGTTTTAGCAATTACGTGTGAGGACCCACCCAAAGTGGTAGGAGCAATGATGGTCGACAGCGTTGGGTTTGTGTTTAAAGAACAAGTACGCTACAATTGTCGTGACGGCTATCGAATGGAAGGATCAGGAACTCTGACCTGTGCGGCAAATGGTAAATGGATCGGTGAAATTCCAGTTTGTAAAGGTAATATTATTAATTGATTAAGAGATAAATAATAGTTGCCTACCAGTTCGATATAATGGACATGCAGAACTAATAACACAAGTATTCAATCAAGCAAAATTTCACTTTACTTTAAGGTTTTTGCCAAAGTAGATTGGGTTCTGGAAAATAAGAAGAGAGTAGTTAATCTCAGTTCCTTGTCCTAAATTGTGATCCAGCCCCAATGAGTCACCAACGCAATTTAGCTTAAAAAGAACTCCCCATTTCCAATGGCAAAGTTGCAAGGTCGAGGCTTTCTGCAGATAGCCGCTTTCCCGCTATGTTATGAACTTTGGTGAAGGTGGTGGTTGAAATGGGTGTTTTTACGGGGCGTCCGAGCTTTCCGGTTCAAGGCTGTCTGTAGAGCTCCAAAAGTACTTAAAATCGAAGTTATCATTCATTTTTCTCCAGTGCTTCCAGGTGTCCTAGACACCGTACCTTACACGATTTTAGGATCCCTTTAACAATTTATCACTGGGAATTTGATGGTTTTCTTACTTGTTGTTCTATTAGCACCAAAGGAGCTAAAAGGTGCCTACAGTTAAATGTTTTTTTTTTTGAAAAACCGACTCAGAAGCATTTAATAAAAGTATACCAATAATTAACCAGAGAAGTAAAAGCTTTAAGATATCTAAGACACCACGGATCTCTAAAGAGATTTTAACTGCAAGGAAAATAAAGGAAAGAATTTACTAAAAGTTTAGTTTATTAAAAATCCTAGCGAAATGAATGAGGTGACTTATAAAACGGGTTTCGAAATAAATTAAATAAAATGAAAAAAGCTTGAAAAAAAAGTACAGAAAAAGCAAAGGGTAATTTGAAATTATTTGGAAACTTATAAAAGAGGTAAAAAATAAAAACAAAACTATAAAACAGATATTACCTAATGCATTTAAGGAGAATGATATAGGTATAGGGGTTATAGTTCATAAGGAAATAGCTGAACGGTTTAATAAATATTTTCTTAACATAGGACCTAGACTAGCAGAGCAAATACCAGAAAATATTATGAACTTTGCATCATACTTAGGAAACAGTAATGTTGACTCTATTGTCTTAGATCCAGTCACTGAAAGAGAAATAGAAATAGAATTGAAACCACTGAAAATCGACAAATCATGTGGTTATGATGAAATGTCTCTAAGGGTTGTAAATATGTATATAATGTGATACTCACTGTGCTACCATTTTTTCAGCCACTTAAAGAAATCATTGAGAAACCTTAAAGATTCTTAAAAAAGCTCATAAGAGCTTGCTATGTTTCCCGTTGCCTCAACTATATAATATATGTTTTGTAATATCATGATTATATACGATGTATGAAGGTTGTCAATAAAACCTATATATATTTCAGCGGACTTTTAAATTCCGTTGCTCTACAGCATGTACAGGATACATTCCGATTCTTTCATTCATTTCAAATTTTGTTTGAGAAAAAAAGAAACTGTTGTTCGGCAATTCACGATGAAGGAATGCAGCGACAGTCATCTGAAATCCAGAACACGTGTTAGATTCACACAAACTGGCTGTCACGCGTTAATTTCTTTTAATTAAAACACAAATCTTAATTGTTCGGGAGCTAAAGAAGGGCAATAATTATATTCCATCTGTATTTTTGCAGATCGTCTGTTTCCCTTTACTGATCGACCAAATCCCATTATCGGGTTCTCATGATCAACTTCTATTTTCTTACTGATAAAAGGACAAATTCAAGTTCCAATGTTACCTTTCAGCCATGTATTGAGATTTGTTTTTCCATCATTTTGTTGCATGTGCAGCCATATTCTGCGAAGATCCCGGCACACCACAAAACGGTTCAAGAACTGGAAGTGCTGTTTTCAAGTACGGCGAGAAGCTATCTTTCCTCTGCAATAAAGGATTCATACTTTTCGGGTCTCACGAGCGAAGCTGCGAGGGAGGTGGAAAATGGACGGGCGTTCAACCTTATTGCGTCGGTAAACAATGAACTTAAAATTTCTTTGCTCACTCCCAATTTCCCCTTAGAGATTTCAGACTATTCGCATGCCTCATTTTCATCATGATAAATTCCATGAACCTCAACTCCCATTTTTACTGGAGTTTGCTCTTTGTAATGAAATCTGACATGTGTCTGATATTTACATAGACTGGCCTTATTGGAATAAAATTAGCAATAATATTATGTTTAGGTCGATTAGCACCAAGTAGGAATTGTTCCAATTATCGTCAATTATACAGTGTATCAATTCCGATACAAGCATGTTTATTTATTTATTTATTTTATTTTATTTGCCACACTAATTACAAAAAATATAGGAAAAGAAGAAGAAGAAAAAAAAAAAAGAAGTGGCGAGGAGACCTAACAGAAACTATAGGAGCTTATGAGAGGTTAGGCCTCCTCGAACTATGAGCTAGAGCTGTTTCACATCAATTGAAGAGAAGAAGGCGAAAAGTCGAAGATGGAAAGATTTATAAACTGTTTTCATACTTACTCAATAATTTAATCTTCAGTTTTTTCTTAAAAGAGGAGAGGGATTGAGAGTTGATGATCTTGTTGTCAAGTGAATTAAAAAACTTAGGCCCTTGAAAAAAGGGCGAGAACTTCTTCGTGTTTGTACGACAATACGGTAGACGGTAGGCCTGGGAATTTCTTGTATTGTAAGAGTGGAATTGATTGCTTTGAGAGAAATTGTTATTAAACTTTGGAGGTAAGAATGAATTTTTGCAAGAATACATAAATTGGCCCAGTTGAAGCAAATGGATATCATTAAATTTTAGTATACCGAGGTCCTTAAAGATGGGGTCAGTATGAGCATTAAAATGTGATTTATTAATAATTCTAATAATGCGCTTTTGCAGGATAACAAGGCGGCGGAGATTAGTTTTATAGGTCGAAGCCCAAACGATATTGCAGTAGTAAAAATAAGGATAAATTAAGGAATAGTAGAGCATACGTAAAGACGATTTAGGAAGAAAGAAGCTGCATCTAGATATTATACCGATTGACTTCGCAACTTTACTGGCAACGTGAGATATTTCCGACTTCCAATTTAGGTTTTCATCCAAAATTACGCCTAGAAAATTTGTCTCCTTTACTTTAACAATATTTTGATTATCTATACTTATTTGAATATTACAAATTGAACGCTTTTGTCTTGGTTTGAAGACCATAAATTTAGTCTTTTTAAGATTTAGAGAAAGCTTGTTTGCTTTAAACCAGATTGACAGTTTGTCCATCTCCAAGTTTAACATATCTGAGAGATAGTTCAGATCTTTATGTGACATGAATACATTGGTATCGTCAGCGAACAATATCAGATTTAATAGATTAGAAGCATTGTTGATGTCGTTAATGTACAGTAAGAATAATAGAGGTCCGAGGATAGAACCCTGAGGGACCCCACAAGAGATTTCATTTCTTAACGAACGGTGGCCATTATATTCAACATATTGCTTTCTGTTTGAAAAGTAACTTCTTATCCAGTCCAGCGCTAAGCCACGAATACCGTAATGTTCGAGTTTATCAAAAAGGATGATATGATTTACAGTGTCAAAGGCTTTTGAGAGGTCAAGAAAAATACCTACGGAAAATTCACCTCGGTCAAAGGCAGTAGAGATCTTATCATGCAAGTCGATTAACGCGAGTGCAGTGGAATGATTTTTCCTGAAGCCGTATTGGTTACTACAGAGGATGTTGAAGTTCATCAGATATTGCATTAAACGATTGTAGATAACTCTTTCAAAGAATTTTGAAAAACTGGGAAGCACCGAGATAGGTCGGTAGTTGATGAAAAGCCACTGATCATCAGATTTAAAAATAGGTATCACGCGAGCGATTTTCATTTCATCGGGAACAATACCATGCTGGATTGACAAGTTTATGATATGGGTGAGTGGTTCAGAAACAAGTAGAATGGACTCCTTAATGACTGTCATTGGAATCTGGTCGTAGCCAGCTGCTTTGCCTGGGAGAAAAGTTTTCGCAATCTCAGTGATCTCATCTTGAGTTGTAGGGTTGAAGAATAGTGACTGTGTAAAGGAACCATCAAGAAAACAACGGTGTGAAGCTGACGACTGTATACCCCTTGCTAAATTAGGACCGATGCTTGAAAAATAACTACAAAACTTGTTGGCAATTTCGACAGGATCAGTAACTTCACGATCATCAGCTTTAAATGTTGAGCATCTATTGGAATTTCTTTTGCTTCTGTTTAGAATTTCATTTAAAATTTTCCAAGTAGCACGAGTATTAGATTGAACGTTATTCAATTTCTTCTCATAGTATAGACGTTTTGCTGTCCGCAGAGAATGATTTAATTTGTTTTTATAACTTTTGTAAACTGATTGACGATCCATTGTTGGATTTCGCAGATATTTTTTATAAAGCCTATTTTTCTTCCTAATACACTTAATAAGCGCATTGGATAGCCACGGTTTATTTAAACGGGACTGTTTTCTAGTTAATTTTTTTACAGGGAAGCACACATTATAACTTTCAGAATACTTCTTTATAAAGCTATTATACGCGTTTTTGGGGTCATGATAACCATCAAGGGAGGACCAGGTAATTTGTTTTAGCGTTTCGAGAAAACTCGCTAAGTTTTCTTTATTATTGTCTCGAATGACCACTGGGTCATGAGCGTGGCTGTTGGAAGAGTCATTATTTGAATGAATCGAAAAAACAGGTAAGTGATCAGAGATATCAGTAATCAATAAACCACTTCTCGAGTGATCAAAAAATGTGTTTGCGAAAATGTTATCTAGCAATGTTGCGGTGTGAGAAGTTATTCGGGTGGGACGTGTTATCATGGGAAAAAACATATACGAGTGCAATCCATCAAGGAATTCGCCAGTGTTTTGGTGATGTTGAAAGTTAATTAAATTCAAATTGAAATCACCCATAATAAAACATATTTTGTTCTCTCTAGAGATTTTCGCTAACAGATCATTGTGTTTTGACACAAAATCACCAACTCTCTGATTAGGTGGCCTGTAAATAACACCACCGATAATATTTTTCCCATGGGGTCTTGATATTTCAATAAACAAAGATTCTGCAACATCAATATCGTCAAAACTCAAGTCAGCGCGAATTTTAAAATCGAGATTGTCAGAAATATATAAGCCAACACCACCACCAGTTCTATTTGGGCGATGTTTGTGAATAAAATTGAAACCATCTATGTCTACTGAATGGGAATAATCATATAATGTTCATTATATCGAGGCAGGTGCAAGAAGTAAAAACCTTTTAAAAAAGGAACGTGTTGAAAATTTTTGTGTGTTTTCTTCCACAGAATGTGCTGGAGTAGACACTCCCGTTTTTATCAGAAAAGGCATCCGTTTTATCCAAGGACTTATCAAGGAAAAGCGTGGATATGTGGTGACAGTTTTGACTCAACCCTCTGACGAAGAAGAGGACGTCGTAATTTTAGGAAGAGGGACACAGCATTACATCATCGTGCAGGACAAAGTTCCTCCTACGAAGGATATCTTCCTGGGAACAAAAGTCATAGCAAAACACCCAAACACTGCAAAGTATACATTTGCTAAGGTTAACTCGATTAACGATGAAAAACATTCCGTGACATTTGAGGACAAACGAGGAACTACAGCAACCTTGACTATTGATTCCATTCGGACGCTAGATCCGCCAAGGTTCTGCGGTACGTTCGCCACCAATATCCTTAAGTAGAAGGGAAAATGGGACTTGTATAGAGCGGTTTTCACTTGACTGTCGAAAGGGATTGGTTTTGGTTTTGGTTTTGGTTTTACTACGCCCTTTGGTTCGCTAGTGTATTTACTTTGGTTTTGGTTTTACGACAGTCAAGTGAAAACCGCTCTAATTTAACAACTTAAGTCAGTATTACCTTGTTTGCGTAGAAACTGTTGAGCAGAGCACTAAAGAGCAAATGTACGATTTAAATGAACCAGAATATGCGAAAGCATTGGTTGTTTAATGGGGAGAGGTGCACTTTCATGAACGGATTATATAATTATATAATTATATATGTTTTCGACGCGTTTTAGCCTACTCTGGGAGAGGAAGGTACTATAAATACAAGGTTCTTACGTGTATTTGGTATCCTTTATGAGAGTATACATAATCAGTGCCTGGTACAGAGTGGACGTTTTTTATCTCAATCTGGAAAATGTTCACAAAATGCAGCTAAAATGATCTGATAGTGCTAAATAGTGTCAAGGAATCCTCCCATTTTGGTTACTTTTCATTTCGTGTAAATTTTTCACATTTTCCTTACCCATTATTTTAAAGCTTTTGTTAAGAGTATAAAAAGCTGCATCGCAAAAGCTGAAGATTCAATATTTGCCTCTGAAAAAGTCATGTTTTCAAATGTCTTTTTCCAACATGCAATACCTGTCTTCCACAATAGGTAAAGTAATGAAATTAGACCTAATAGTCACCATATTTTTTACTGGTGAAGTTTACAAAATCAAATCTCTCTCTAATTACCATTGTAGCGTCATGTCCTGATCCAGGAAAGCCAGATAGAGGCTTTAGAGAGGACGATCTTCTCGAATTCATTCCTGGTACTGAAGTTGAATATGGTTGTGAGATAAACACTCAATTGATGGGATCCAGCAAGCGAAAATGTTTACCCAGTGGGTTATGGACAGGAGTTCAACCCACCTGCAAAAGTAAGTTTTTAGATTAACTGCAAAAGTAAGTATTTAAATTCTTGAAACTAGGATGACACCGACTCTCCCAACGTTGACTGCCAAGTTGAAGTAATGTTACTATTTTTTTTTTCCAATTCATCTTTTTGTATTTAAATGCGATACTCTTGATGTTACTGTTCTTTTTTGCCTCGTGCACTATTTATCTCTACACGTCAATTTCTCTGCACTTACAGCCACTTCACCCATACGGACATCTTGCTCCTCACGAATACGGCCGTTGAGGGCAGCTCTAACCGCATCATAAATTACAAAGAAATTACTGGATTACGTAGCAGTTATGTTCTGCTTTTGTGCATCAATCGAAATACTTCATCGCTTGACATGGCCCCTTAAAAGCATAAAAGTGTAAACGAAGTAAAAATAAACAGCACTGGTTTATCTTAACATATTCACATTTTTCCATAGTTACGTCATGCTGGGACTTAGACGTCTTTCCTCCCAAGAATGGTAAACGAACAGGAGATGAGTTTGGTATCGGTAGCTCTGTGTCATTCACCTGTAACCAGGGATACGAGTTGATAGGGAGTTCAACCCTTACTTGTCAGGCGGATGGACAGTGGAGTGGAATTGTACCAATCTGTAAAGGTGTGAGGCTAAAGTTCTTGTTGTGTTTCTAATATGTGATTAAGTTGTGGATTGGTTCAGCGAGCTGGTTCTTTGGTTAGGTGTCTAATTATTGACGGACACGTGGACCGAGTTGAGGGCAAATGTAAAGGTTTACTTTGACCTTTACTTGGCAAAGAACGGTATCCCTAGTAGACTAGTGCAGCCGGGGATCAAAAATAAAATTGCTTTCAAATGTAAATCTGTTACACTGAGGAAAAAATAAGAGTTACATCTGATTTGCTCGTGGCAAATATGACGCAATAAAAGTGCACAATAGGAGGGGGAAATAGGAGAGGAGATCAGAGGTAAAGATGTGGTAATTCCTTATACCGCATTCCCATTATCCCAAATTTGCGGTCATTTACCATCTTTGCAGCCTCAAACTTAACCTTAAAGTCTGCATTTTTTGACATCATATTTGCCCCGAGCAACTAATGCGTCTTTATTGCGGTGATTTTTCGGCACGGCCACTTGTCAATAAGAAAACATAATGCTAGAACCCTCAAAGTTATGTCAGAGCGCAAGTGATGCTTTGACCTTTTTTTTTTCTTCTCAGATCAGCTCAGAAGGATTGCAAAGAGTAAATTATAATTTATTTATTTATTTATTTCCTTTAATGGAAACATTTATAGATCTCTGTGAGAGTACGAAGTGTGAAACATGGCAGAAATGCGTGTTTGATGGCAGAAAAGGTCCCATCTGTGTTTGCCGAGATGATCTGGACTGTCCTGCGGAGTTCAAACCAGTTTGCGGCTCGGATGCAAAGCGATACAACAACGAGTGCATCATGAAGGCGACAGCCTGCAGAGAAGGCAAGTCAGTAAAGAAGGCAGCGGATGGTTTCTGTACACCAGGTATGAGTATCTTTGTTTTAGAGGTAAACACTTCATTTCTATTCCACATTGGGAACAGTACTTCACCTTTACCCAAGCTGGGAATTAAATTGTTTAACATACTTGAACAGGAAAATGGAAAATTACTGTGTTTTATATGGTGGATTGGTGGTCCTATGGGTCAGAAATGAGACTAATTATGCTAAACGCACGCCATTGCAAAAATGTTATTGCAATACAGTAATGCTGATGTAATTACTTTCTAACAAGGGACAAAAACTAAGATTAACCAGCACGAGACTTAAACTGGAACTAGAGTTTGTAACTAAAGTTTAGTTTATTTTGTTCGCATCATGGATGACGTGCGTTACTCCAACAGACTTTTTTAACTTTGTTGTAGGTGGAATTTGCCAGATCGTTCCCATAAGCAACTGCAGGGCTCACTTCAACCACTTTTATTTCAACATGACCTCTAGAATGTGCGAGTCAATTGTTGCCGGAGGGTGTCATCCAAGTGGATGGAATGGCTTCACTAGCATGGACGATTGCAACCGTACATGTTCAGGTAGCTTACTGCCCCTCCACCGTGGTCAAACGTAGCTAATCGTTTAAGGCTTTTTTCGTTTAATCATAGTCAGTAGAGGAGACAGGTTATGAAAGGCGGCAAAAATAAAGATAACAATGGTGCTGCAGTTTAACCCTCGGACATAACACACAAATTCAAATCCCCACCGTGGTACGAAGAGGAGGGGAAGGGCGGGGGTGGATGGAACCCCTCCTCAGAGTTTTGATATGTTGCAGTATTTCGCAACGATTTTACCTTTAGTGGAAATCCTTTGATCTTCTTAACAAGATGAGGTATATTTTACGGGTGGTGGCGCTGCTGGAGGCCTGTGACCAACAATTGTCGCCATCTTGGATTTTACCAGGATTTCGAAATCAGCTTAAAACTGAAATGGTGTTTTTTTAAACTTGAAATGAAAAATAACACATAAATAACCACTTTGCATGATTTTAGCCACAAGATTTACTTTTATATTGAAAGTAGTTCAAAATACATGTATTTTCACTTAAAAATGGCTTGACCACCTGCTATTTATGACGTCATATCTCGTAACCATGGAAACTGGCCATCACTAAACTTGTCTCAAAACGCGCGCGAGGGATGAATGAACAGCTACTCAAACGGCAAGTGCTGATGTTTTATCCTCTAGGAAAAAACTCAGAAAAACCTTCTCTCCTCTTCCGAACAGTCCATTCTCGGGGAGGACCTAGGCGAGACGGAGAGAGCAGTGGAAATCGAGCGTATCCCTGACGGTGAACACTCTTTTACTTTCTGTTCACAAATTGTGACTAGTAAAATGAATTAATTCTACATTTTTATTGGTTAATAAGATCAAAATGATAGGAATGCTACTGATAGTTATGCACTCTCAGGTATACAAAAACATATAACAAAGGAGTCTGACGGCCTTCAAAACCATTCCACTCTATTCACTATGGTTTAATTGCGGGCAATCCTAAGCCCTCAATCCTAATTTCCAGGTTGTTGTTACGTATGCGTCGCATGTATGTAGCCAACATTCGTTTGGACTTTCACTAAGAATGAATGGAATTTGAAAAGGCGCGTTTCTACCCTCTCGTAATCTGATCACGCGTGTTTTGACTGTCCGCACGTGAAACTTGCGCGAAGCACAGCGATGGAGCAAAAGCGTTTTGACCTTCGATCGTTGTCGCCCACACACCGTAACCTTTGGTGACCGTCGAATTAAGTTTCAGAATCGTGGATACCCACGATCATAAATCACATGAGATCGATTTCCATCAACCCCATGGGTGAGCAGTTCGCGCGAAAACTACTAATCAGCATTAGCGAGCTGATTAATATCCAGTCTTCTAGTTCAAGTTCAAGTTCATTTATTCACACTTATTCAATTACAAAACAAAAAAACAATAAGAAAAAAAAGACATAAGAAGTAAAACAGAGCTAATATACGGAATTCATCATAACAAAGGAAAAAAGTGCGTAGCACCTAAAGGAGCCAAGCTTTCGAGTTGGCTACCACCACAGAGCGGTTACAAGTAGGTGGAAGTTGTACAGTACGCGTTAAACTCTCCACCCGCCATCTTCCAGGTGCCTTGCTTTCTTGCCTGGCGTTCTGTTTCTAACATACGAAAGCGTACAATTTAGTGTATAATTGCCTTAATTTACGTTTCTACTTGTTTTAAGGCTCAAAAAACTAAGGCAGCTTATTAACTAGGTCTGGATTCTTCATGTTCTCCTCTTTCAAAGACACTGATCATGATGGAATTGTGAGAAATTAAATAACGAGCTGTTATTTTGAATTATTGCTTATTCTCCAGTGGATGTTTGTGCGCAGCCGGATGATCCGGGACCTTGTGAGACGAATGTGACTCGATGGGCTTTTAACCCAAAAGCTGGGCGCTGCAAACGGTTCAACTATGGAGGCTGTTTTGGAAGAGAAAACAACTTTGAAACCAAAGAAAAGTGCAATCAAAGATGCCCACCAACCGGTAATTAGCTGATAATATATGAGTTTTTATTTGGTAATTAATAGTAAGGTTAACTTAATATTGAACATGATTTTACACGAATAAAATAGTTTACATTCACATACTTAACTGAAGTAGCCTTTCATTCTATTTTTCTGTTGCTTTCCAGGTTAATATAACTTAGAATTAGTAACCAGTTTTTTTTTTTTTTTAATAAGGTTTCTGGCAGTTCTTCTAGATAGTAATTTTTTTATTATTTTTATTTTTTTCGTTTCTTTTTCCTTTCCTTTTTTCAATTTTGTGTAAGATTAAAAGGGACAAGGGACAGTCAGATGCATCGAGCGGATCCGCCTGATAACATTCTGTATTAAGTATGAGTAAAGTTTTAGGTTTCAACGAGTTCTGGAGTATAATGTATCAATGCAAATCCTCACCTACACTCCACCTACACTAAAATTGCACCTGTGTACGTAATCCTTGTTAAGTAATTCTTCATTTTTCTTTCAAGATAAGGCAAGGAATGCCGGCTGTCCAAAATGTTCGCGCCAGGTGAAAATTCGGGTGGCTTGCAAAGAAAGTGATTATGGTAAGTTGCCAGTTTATATCCAAGCCTTCCTTCTATTCTCTTTGCAAAGAACATGAAAGAAAATTGACTTAGTTTATAGTGGTAGTACAACTACAGATAACCCAGTTGTTTTCTGTGTGACCCACAGATAACGACAAAAACAAATAACTGAAATAAACATATTAAGAAGGATAGGAATCACAACTAGCAGGAGTCAAACCAGTTGGCTATTATACAAGCGTAGTGGCTATCAAAAACAAAAGCAGCCAGTGGTTAGAACGGGGTTTGAACCGTGAGCTTCCGAATTGCGATTCCAGCACCGGTTTTAACTGGTCGGGCGTCAACGCTGCCTCCAAACGAACTGTCCTATTCTCATCTAATAAGTAATTTGTGTCTGACTTTTTGGTGATTTTTTCTCTCATTTTCAGTTTTCGTAGGCAAAGTCCAAAGAAACCTACCAGACAATTCGACTAAGAATACTACACGATACTTAGTTTCAATCAGCAAGATCCTGAAAAACACAAATGGGTCTCTCTCTGTGGGTACTGCGGTCATCAGTGTCCCCCATGGCAAGACACCAGGCTGTCCCTGTCCCTCGTTGCCCAAAGTAACGTTCTTTCTCATGGGCCAGGTTGAGATAAATCCAATCGATGGGCAAGCAAAAGTGGATATTACTGTTAAACAGTCAACAGTTGTCCAAAGGATGAACAACAAGGATTATATAGAAAAATTGAAGAAAAAATGTGCTGCGTATTTTGATTTAACCAAATTCGAATGATTTTTCTCCGCTTTCCAACACCAAGAGTAATTGGGTACTAAATAGTCTAGGCTAACTATGTTTAGCTCATCGGCGGTTAAAAAGGAGCAAAAGAAGGCATGTTTGATTTCACCTCTCAAGTTAAGAACTTTAGAATATCCAAAATAGAGAATATCTAGAATATCTGTCATCTTGTCCAAACATTTAGTAGTCTATTGACAATGAAAATAGCATTTTTTATATAATGATTAACGTAATTTTTTTAAAAATTTAATGCTGGCATTAATTAAAATTTGAAAAAAAAAAATTCTTATGATGCCGTCATTACATCTCAAGCTCCTGTTTCAAAGCGAGGCTATGTTCGAAGCCATTGATAACAAAACTATTTTTTGTCCTCATGCAA